TTAGATTAGATTAGATTAGATTAGATTAGATTAGATTAGATTAGATTCGATTCGATTCGATTCGATTTGATTTGGTTAGAGGTGTAACCGGAAAAGGGTAGAGTGCCTTCTCCGGGTCGGAGCGGACGTCCTTCCCCAAGTGGAGGAGTTCAAGTATCTCGGGGTCTTGTTCGCGAACGGGGGTAGGGAGCGTGAGATCGATAGGCGGATCGGTGCGGCGTCTGCAGTAATGCGGGCGCTGTACCGGTCTGTCGTGATGAAGAGAGAGCTGAGCCTGAAAGCGAAGCTCTCAATTTATCGGTCGATCTACGTTCCCACCCTCGTCTATGGTCACGAACTTTGGGTAGTGACTGAAAGAACGAGATCGCGGATACAAGCGGCCGAAATGAGTTTCCTCCGCAGGGTGGCTGGGCTCTCCCTTAGAGATAGGGTGAGAAGCTCGGCCATCCGGGAGGGGCTCAGAGTAGAGCCGCTGCTCCTCCACGTGGAGAGGAGCCAGCTGAGGTGGCTCGGGCATTTGTTCAGGATACCTCCTGGTCGCCTCCCTGGGGAGGTGTTCCGGGCTCGTCCCACCGGAAGAAGGCCCAGAGGAAGACCCAGGACCCGCTGGAGGGACTATGTGTCCCGGCTGGCCTGGGAACGCCTCGGGATCCCCCCGGAGGAGCTGGCTGAAGTGGCCGGGGAGAGGGAAGTCTGGGTTTCCCTGCTCCGGCAGCTGCCCCCGCGACCCGACCCCGGATAAGCGGTGGACAATGGATGGATGGATGGATAGAGGTGTAACATCTCTAAAGTCTTGTACTTTTATTGATGTGTGTTTGTGAAATTCTGATTAAAATCTACATTGTTTAGAAGGGATGACAGGAAAGGATGAAATAATAAGAAAAGTGGTTTGTGCCTGTAATTCCTTAAGTGATATCCACTTGTCATGTCAGATATCATTCAGTATATAAATGAAAATGCCTTAAAGCTAAAGAGAAGAGAAACTGAGAATGATCCTGCCTGTCCTGGATTTTAGATTTCATCTTAACTCAGATATATTGAGTGTCATTAGAGAGCTAGCGCAATTCCAAACACTCAGAGGGGGTCAAAACAAAGTCGAGTTGATCTACAGTTTTGGAGTGGACGCTTTCGTCTGGGGTTTTTTAACGCTCCGGGCCAAGTTCACCTGATCAATACCTGCTGTGCTATTTATGTGGACTTACACTTTATACCACCTGCCAGCGTTCTGTCGATAGCTGGAAATAAAAGCCACCCTGTGCGGTCCACTTACTCCGCCGATGCACTTGGAGAGTGCCGGTTAATGCTTGAGGTGATCTTCAGCGGGACACTGCATTACGAGGACAGCCACACCTGCAATGTCACAAGTTTTAAGGGGGAACCGTCACCTGACTCTGCGGCTCCTGTGCTCCACTCAGGCTTTGGGTTTTTAACGCTGGCGTTCTGCAGCAGGGACAAAGCCGGCGAGCGTCCCGTCTGCAGGGGGCTGCCCACCACGGAGCAAATCTGTAAGACAAGCAGAGGCAGATTTGTTTCTAGAGGAAATTGACTCTTGAGATTGTAACCGTTGCTTTTTGATGCAATGTCTCTGTTCTTTCCAGTTTTCTGCTGGTTTTTGGGCAGTTCTGCTTCTGTGTGTGGGGTGTGGCTCTGTTCAGGAAGGTGTTTGATCCATCGATTGTCTCCATGGTATTGATCTGATTGGTGGACATTCCTGTATCAAAAGGGGCTGATGGACAGCTGATTCAATCAAATATAATTAGAAAGAATTTATCTTATTTCATGTGTCAGATATTACAGCCGGGTATAACTCAATATAATGTCTGTTAGTTTCCAGTTAAGAGAGCCCATTTCAGAGCCTTGAATGAACCATTAGCATGCACACATCTCAATAGTGAACCGAAGCAGATCCATTTGATTAATTATATTCACAAAAAAGATCATTTTTTTCCCTGAAACTCTCCTTTTAACGGTAACCATGGCACGACTGTAAATCTGGACTGAAAAGTGGTACACATGTGCTGCAATTCTGCGGGCACAAATGCAGATGTGAAGCATTCTACTGGCGACTGTTTCTGATCTCTGGATGCAGCGCACGCAATAAGTCAGAAGTGTGTCGTTTGCACACAGATAAACGTTGTTTTACATTATGGAATTTGGCACAGAATCGGTTAAAATTGTTATTTGAATTTTGCTTCTGTTCTGTTGTGCCTGCTGACTGTCTGACCGACATGCGACTCCAGATGTGAACATTTTCTTTTGTTTTTTCTGTGTCCCCCCCCTTCCTCCAGGCAGCATCGTGTACCTCGGGATGATGTTCGGAGCCTTTTTTTGGGGCGGCCTGTCGGATAAGGTGGGCCGCAAACAGTGCCTGCTGATCTCGCTGTCCGTCAACGGCTTCTTCGCCTTCCTCTCCTCCTTTGTTCAAGGATACAGCACCTTCCTCTTCTGCCGCATGTTGTCCGGCTTCGGGTGAGTTCACACAACCTTACCCCCCCCCCCCCCCTGAAGTCAGAGCGCATGATGAGGTTCTTGTAACGGTCCCCGCTCATCCCTTCTCCACGAAACGGAAACGTAGCCGAGCACAATAAGGGAACATCTGTGTGTTTCAGGGCTGGTGATAGAACCCCCCCCCCCCACAATCACGTTCATTTGACAGCCTGCTCATACGAGTTGATGCAAGTCTGAGGACAAAAGCTTAAAGCATCGATGCAAAAAAGCTTAAAACGCATCGGCGACTGCAGACAGGTGTCAAAACAGCAACATGAAAATCAGGCCGGCGCACTCAAGAGTCCTAAATTGAATTTGTTTGCACTTGAGTACGCAGCTTTATAGAATCCATCGCAACATACAGATTCAGTCCGCATCAATTTACAGCCCCTGCTCAGTCACAGCTCGTAGTTCAGTCCGGAAAGATGCTTCCATCTTTGATTAGAAGCGTCAGCTTTTTTTCTTGTCACCTTCTTCTCAAACTGCGTCACTGTTACTGAGTTTTTCTGTGTTAAGACATGTTTATTCTTGAGTTGTATGTGACATGTTTGTAAAAAAAAAAAGGGCCTGCACAGACAGGTTTGTGCTGTTCTTTTTGGTGGCATTGGTGAAAGGGTAACAGATACTGTAAGTTCTAGGGAACGCTGGGATTTCCATCTCGGGAGAAACATTATCTGGCACCGAGGGCCGTTACCAGTTTGAGAAGATGCAGCTTGTTTCATTAAGCTTTTTCCTACCTCATTAACTTTGATACTATAAGCCATCGCAGCAAATAAGAAAGAAAGTGAGAATCAAAGTGCCATCTGCTCAAACTGTGCAGACTCGAGACAGTTTCTGGGATCTCTTAAATGTGGATTACATTGGAGAAATTTAATGATGTTTCTTTGTTAAACATTCTTACAAGAATACTTTTTGAATACTCTCTGATCAAATATACAAATAACCTCATCTAACACACTGTTGTATATTCTCATGATATTTTTGTTTTTAAAGTTTTGAATCTATTTTTTGCCATCCCTTAAAGTTTTTTTTAGGTTTTTCTGTGAGTCTTAGCTTTTTTAAACGTATTATTTACACCTTTTAAATTAATTTTCATGTACCTGACCAATTATGGAGGAGAGTGTTTGACTCATTCATGCATACAAAGCCCCCTCTCTCAAGGATTTGCATATCTCAGCATGGTATGCAGTTAAAATATCTGTACAAAACTGGAAAAGTGGAGAACAAAAAAATGCCAAACTGAAGGTGATGTCCTCCAGAAAGAAGACAAAAAGACCTGAGAGATGAATCTGGACCCTCAGCTAATAGACAAGACTGATGGTTTAAAGATGTAAAACGTAGACAAAAAAAATCATTAGATCTTCATGTTGAAATTGGATTTTAATTACTAAAATTTGCCCTGAGGGAGTTTAAAGAAGCTGAGAAGCAGCTTGATGTTGTTCAACAGGTCTGTGTGTCTGTAGAGAGCGATCTTTGCTGTACTGCAGTCACAGATGGGCTTCTGCTGACCGTGCTCACACCTCGCCGACGGTCCGGCCTCGTGCAGCTTTTGTGTCAGCGTCTTTGGATCGGTGCCCGACTGTGTAATGCGAGCCAGTGTTTCTATAATGAAGATATTGATTTTAAAGCACAGACACGCTCCAGGACAAGACAAAAAAGATGTATCACCGAGGTAATACCCTGTGTGATTCTAACCGGCGCTGTGCTGAAGTAGGCGGAGCCAAAGAAGCAGGAGTGGATTTAACTTTGTCTTGCTGAAATATGCAAGGCCTTCCCTGATAAGGACGTATTCCGGATGGGAGCAGATGTTGCTCTAGAACCTGTTTATACCATTCAGCTTTGACGGAACCTTTCCAGATGTGTAGGCTTCCGGTGCCTCAGGTGTTAATGGCTTCCTCTCTGTTTGATAGAGTTTAAACCTGCGTTTGAGAATGGCCAGGACGATATCCAGGTTAGAATCAGGCTGGACTTTAATCCAGTGCTGCATTATCATGAATTTCCTCCATAATTGTGCAGTTTTATGCAGTTTTACGAAAACTTACAGTGTTATAGAGGGCTTGTCACAAAACTCTAACATGTTCCTCCAGCTGTTTTTTACATAGTGCCACCTACTGTCACCAGATCAAAGAAGAGTTGATATTTTTCACAGTCAAATGTGTGGTGTACCTTTTCCCAGTGGCAGCTGGGGTAGGCTCCAGCCAAATTCTCACCCTGAACTGAATTAGGCAGGATTAGAAAATGGACGCTCGTTTGTTTTCTCTTTCATCCTGGTCCCATAAACCAAAAACAAAACCGCTGTTCTCTGAAAGGATGCGAAGCTAATGGCAGCAAACCCACTTTTCAGGATTGGTGGAGCCGTGCCGATCGTGTTCTCGTACTTTGCGGAGGTCCTGGCCCGGGAGAAGCGAGGGGAGCATCTGAGCTGGCTGTGCATGTTCTGGATGATCGGAGGGATCTACGCCTCAGCCATGGCCTGGGCCATCATCCCACACTACGGTGAGTTACCCATCAGACCTAACGGACCAGTCACATCTGTTCAACTTTGACTTGAGAATCACACACACTTTCTAAATTTCAAACTTTCCGGCTAAATTTCAGGATTTTTGACAATTATAAGAATGTAAAATCTGCTGTACATAGTTTATTTTAAGACATTATGGATTAAATCTTAATTAACCAATCCAAAATAAATGTTACGGTAAAAAGCAGTGCATTGGCTCGTCTATTTTTGTTTTATGACGATCTTTCATTTTTATCCGGTTTGCCCTTTGGGACATGTGATTACCGTAACCCAAAGAGGAAAAAACAATCATTGGCTTCACAGCAGACTTTTAGCATTTAGTTCAGCCGCAACAGATTGATGTTGGCAGCTGAATGCCTTTAAATGATTTTCCTTTTGTGACCTTTAACATTTAGAATAGCTGTTTGAGATGTCAGTGTTTGATTTAATATTATCTACATCATAGATTACAATACATACATTATATTAAAACAAATTGATAGAGTAAAGCTAGAATAATGTTTAAACTTCTTCTATACTCTGATGCAGGGATTTTTACCATTTTAAGCTATCTATTTTGGGTACCGGTGGATGGCTGGAGTACCTGTGTTAAAAGATGACAACAGCTTTCCATCCCAACAGCTGTCCGGGGACCAGAATAAAATCCATTATAAAAATCCATTGGGGAGGAAGTAAAAGCATAAATGACCCTCTTTAGATCAGAGATGAGAGGAATGAACAGAACTGAAAATACATATGCCAATATTACCATCTAAGAATCAAGTGACAGCTTATATTTGCTATTTGAACATTTTTTGACATGACACCTGGACTGGATTAGGATATTTTGATGAAATAATTATGACAAATATACATGATAGTGGAGTATTACACTTGGTACACAGTATGTAAAGGGTTGAAATGGTATTGTGCAAAGTAAACTGGTGTACAAATGTGTTCATCTCCATTCCACAAAGTCACTTCCACCCTTTTTCTGATGCTCCTTCCATTGTGAGGCTCGCAGATAACCCGGTGACAGATAACGCTCGGAGAAGTTCGGAAATAAAACCCTGCAGTAGTAGCATACTGTAAACCAACCGTACTGTAATCTCATGCATAAGAAAGGTTTTTGTCGATTTTATCTGTGTTTGTAAGGCGGACAACAACAAAAAAAGCATCGATCAAATTCGGCTCATGTAACAAATCCCACTTTGTATACAGAGTTTATGCTGAAGAATAACAGAGCAGGGGAGGAGGTGTGTGTCAGAGCATCGGGGGAAAAAATGACTAAAATTAAATCAGTCTGGTGCGGAGGCCTGAGAACGAGCAAAGCGGAGCCGAGAAAGAGATTAGGAGGACGAGGGGGAGAGGAGGTGGAGGGTTCGCTTGATTTATGTGGCCTGTGTCTGGGATAATCGAAAGGTGAGAGTATACAGCTGAGAGCTAGAGGGAGACGGAGGGAGAACAAAGGTGGGGGAGGAAAGGGATGCACAAAGGGGAGCTTTTTTTTCCCTCATTTTCAGGGCGATGCTGATGGGATGTAATGAAGTCTGCTCCTGGATTCGGGCCATGGCTCTGCTGGCTCTGTGGATGTGGGGACAGCAGGCTGATTAAGTGCCACCGCTGAGTGGTCTTCTTATCTGGGATAAGGAAACAATGTCTCTTTTAACGTGTTAAGAAAAAGTAGTCAAGGTAATTTATGCCGCTTCGTGCTCGTGAAAGACCAGTGAAGAGAACATAGAGCAGACAAACTAAGACAGAGGCAGGGACCAGTATTGGAGAAAAAAATCTATATATCCTTAAAAAAACAAGAGATATTTTGAAAATAAGGTTACGGGATGAGTCCGCCTGACAGCTACGGCTTGAGCAAACCTTTTCATTTCATGCCATCACACACTGACATTGGCCAGGAGTCCATTGCATTAAATTCTGTTCCGAAATTAAACAGGGAGCAAATGAGGAGACCCTAATAATGGAGAAATATGATCAGAAAACTGTGGTCGCAGAATTTTGGATCAACTGGAGGCTTTTCAGACCTTTGCCTTGGCCAGAGTTTTTTTTACTGATCCATTTAATCAGAATCAGAAAAAAGCAGAGCCATTCCTGACCCTTGACCTGCATTGATTCTTTAGCATTTAGCATCATTCTGGCTCATAAACATCCCTTGGGCTTTTTCCTGATGTCTGTATGAAATGCCAAATTCCTGTAACAGCTCCTGTGGCTTTAATGGGTGAATTAATTCAGTTTCAGCACATTTTCTACCTGCATTTTGTGGCACAGACTTTGACATTGTGTCGCTTTACGGTTTTATTCTTTGGGGACTTCTTTCGGTTGGATGCAAACTGAGTCTCCAGGAAATAGATTTCTATTTCCTCCAAGTATACGAGCAGGAGCTTTTATTCACAAACGATCAGTAAGTCAGTAAGAGTGAGGAATGTGCACTTCATCCTATAATGAACTCCCTCACAGCCCTTTTTTATGTGAGGGAAAACTTTCTGTTTCCCTCAGAGGCACGTGAAAATGCACTTTAATGAACCCCACGGGGCCGCCATCTTAAAACCAAAAAAAAAGTCTCAAACTTTATTTGTCAATGAAGGTCTGCAGGGGCTCATAATTGAGGTCAATTGATCAGACGCCAGTGTTTTTAGCACATTTCTTGTCCAAGAGGCAGTGGAGTGTGGGTAATGGGTTCCGCCGCAGTGCTCACCGCATCGACTGGTGGACGAAGGCCAGATGAGCGAGTGTGTGTGTGTGTGTGTGTGTGTGTGTGTTAGAGAGAGAGCCGCCGCGCATGTCTTATAAGGTATTTAATATCTAACGGAGGAAGAGCTGATAAAATGCTCTCAGGCTGCTGGACAAACTGCCCACGGTGCAGGGATTGGTTGTAAGTCAGCTTTGTTTTTTTTGTTTTTTTATCTGAGCGAGGACACATCTATGATTTCAAATTCATAAACCTGAACAGTGACCAAGGACAGAGTGTGCGTTTATGCGTGTGTGTGTGTGTTGGGTGTGTGTGTGTGTTTTAGCAGCGCTCACTTCCTGTAGAGAAGGGACATAAATCTTGCTGACGGTCTAAATCAGTCAGCCATCCCCTCCAGTCCATTATAGCTGTAATCCCCCTAATGAGGTTTGTACTCATACAGGCCAGAGCAGCCCCACAGGCCACACACACACACACACACACACACACACACACACACACACACACACACACACACACGGTTGAGTGTTTTTACCAACATACTTCACCGCTGCAGCCTCTGTGATGCCGGCCATAAGGGAAGGCTTCTTGGTTTGTCCCACGATTGTTTTCAGAGCCAGGCGGATTTTTTTATTTTGATCTCGAACGGGAGCAAAGACTCGGAAAAGTGGGCGCTGTACAAACCCCAGAGCTTTCCTGGCTCCTGTAGACTCTGGGTAAAAAATCATTGGCTTTTTCTTATTAAAAAGATCCTTCTTTTCACTGTGATGCGAAGAGCCAGTGCTCATGATCAAGGTGCCAATGGTTCTATTGAAAACTGGGATTTTATTTTACATGCATATATCCATAGGGATGTACGTTTTTGCTAATTTAGCTTTAAAGTTGACCATCTCATCCATATATGATATAGAAGTACAAACAGGTGGGGATGTAATATCGAACCTCACGGCATCCAAACGGCTTAGTCCATCATTTTTATTAGCACATCTGGACTGGGCATATCAGTAGTTCCACAAAAGTGGTCTTTTCTCCAACAAATGAGGATTTATGTGTTTTTGGAGCATTGTGTAGCTCAGATGTTCATTTTTTAAACTTTCCCCAGGCTTAAAGATCCTGAAATGCAGCTTAAAGGTACAGGTTTCAGTTCAGTTCCCCAGCAACCAGACACAGAAAGCATTTTCAGACACTTCAGGAAATTCAACTGCAACATCCGACTGTCTTTAATGATGTTTGCTGTTGCTCGGAATTTAAAAATATGTGTGCTTCTTCTACAGTAGATTGCGTTACTTCTGCAGTCTACTGTACTTTGGGTGGTCTGTATACATGTTTACGAAAAATAGTAATGTGGGTCACATCCTTCAGCGAGCCCCCACCTCCTCCCAAAGTCTGAAAAACAAGCCTCAGGGGTACAGAATTAATGAGGCGTTCACACACTCCTCACAAGCTTCTGCATTACGAGAGCTGCAGAAGAGGTTTGTAGTTACAAATTCACCCTCAGTGGCCATCACAGGATGATAAAGTGATTTAAACGAAATTTAGAGAATCTGGGGAGAAGTGAAGCCTCATGCGGTGACGCATTAGGATAATAATGTATGCTATCAAGCTTCAACCAAAGCAATTAGATATTCATGTCATACTCAGGTTTCTGTTTATTCTAAAAGACAATTGACAGATGAGGAGTGAGTGTCTGACAAAGTAGCTGCCCGACAACCTGTGGTGTAGCTTCCCAGCTCAACGAGGATCAAATACCATTCAAACAGACTCTGGGATAGAAGAACATAGTTGTTACTTTGATTCGTCTTTGAATTCTGGACCTCTGATGTCCAGACATTTCTCCCCACTGCGCCTCTGAGGCAACATGAAGGCATTCTGGGGTCAAAAGGGACGTAAATCTGACCAGGTGCCTGCTCCCAGTCCGACGTGCCCGGAAGCGATCCGATCCAGGAGGCACCAAATGTTACAGAATTATCTGAGTCCCTGTTTTAACTCTAACTCTGAACCCCCAAACTAACTGTTCAGCAATTACAAGAAAGTAGTTAAAAAGGTGATTTAAAAATGACTGATGCGGTTATTACATTAACAGAAAAAGAACAAGAAGAAACACTCAGACGTGCCGAGTGTGTGCTGGGACACTGGGGAAGTAGTTGACTTCCAGGTTAATTAGCATAAAAACACACCATTGGCCAGCAGGCACAGACCGAATCCTGAATCTTAATGGAAAACCGGCCCAGAGCTTCTTCAGACAAGTGATTTTTTTTATGTTTGTCCACATCACAGGTCTCATTTGGTGGCTTCTGACCGCCCTCTGTGTCCCTCTGTGTGCAGGCTGGAGCTTCAGCATGGGGTCGGCCTACCAGTTCCACAGCTGGCGCGTGTTCGTGGTGGTGTGCGCTCTGCCGTGCGTCTCCGCAGTCGTAGCTCTCACTTTTATGCCCGAGAGCCCCCGCTTCTTCCTGGAGGTAAAAACAGAGTACACTGCTATAATGGGCTCCATTTCTCTCGAAGGGTAGGCTCTGTGATTTTCTCCCTGTTTCCCGCTGCGAACCGTTCTCTTACAGGCAGAAAAAAAAAAAAAAAAAAGCTAAATGGTCCAATGCTGCAAACACATCCAGCCAGTGCTTGTTCATTTAATTTTTCTGGAGGCTGGGCTTCAATGCTGAGCCAGTAAAAGCTGCACTGTAAAATGCATTTAAATGAACAAACCCTAAGATATAAGAGATAACAAAACATATTCCTTTATTCGTCCCACAATGGGCAAATTTGAGAGTTACAACAGCAGATAAAAATGTATCCAAAAAGGGATTAATCCTACAATGACAGTTCAAAATTTAACAAAAATAATAAATCTCATCTTTGTCATAGTTTTGAAAACATGTGCTCTATTCAAACCTGAAATTCAGGCGCATTAAACTTTACGTGCATCAGCTTACAGTGACAGAAGCAGCAATTCCTGGCAAATTAAAAACTAATTATCTGTGAACTTGTGGGTGCGTTGCACACAAACCCGCATACAGATGAGTCTCAAAGCATTCAAATGAACAAATTTACAAAAGCACGAGCATATATCTTTTTGCTAAAGAAAAAAATCTTTGTGCTCAGCGGCCTCTGACGCACTTTTGTGAAAGTCACTTTCCGGAGCGATAGCTCCCTGTTTCTGTTACGGAATAAATAGTGTGGTTCAGTGGTCTGAATTTAAATAAATAATTCAATTTATTTAAAGTGAAGAAGAACAAGCAGTCCACAAACGTTAAAGTGTTTTTTTTATGTCATAACATGCTTATGTCATTTATGTGAAATCTAAAAGCAATGCACTGTCATTTAAAGAATAAATAATTTAATTTAATCAATGAATGGATTCAGAATTGAATAAAATGAGCATAAACACACCAGCAACACCGGACCGACTCAAATGACCACGATATATGTCGTTTGTGTGTAAACTCCCGGACTTTTATCCGTTAGACGGGCAAACACGACGAGGCCTGGATGGTGCTCAAACAGATCCACGACACCAACATGCGCGCGCGGGGGGAGCCCGAGCGCGTCTTCACCGTGAGTACCGGCGCCGGCGGCGGCTCTCCGTCCTCCTGCGGCGCCGCCGGCCAATCACAGACCGCCGTCTCCCCCTGCAGGTCAACCGCATCAAGGTCCCCAAACAGTTGGACGAGCTGGTGGAGATGCAGAACGAGTCGGCCAACCCCGTGCTCAAAGTCCTCCTCAAGATCAAGGCCGAGCTCAGAGGGGTACGCCGCCCGCTTCCGTTATCGTTCGGTTCCGTTGTAACAATTGTTTTTAAACTTCTTTTTCCGTTTTCTCTTAGATCTGGTTGACTTTTATGAGGTGTTTCAATCCCCCAGTGAAGGATAACACCGTGAAACTGGCTGTGGTTTGGTTTACTTTGTCTTTTGGGTAAGAAAAGGATCCTCATGGCTCCTCCAGCTCTTCTTCTTCTACACTTTATTTTATCACTGTATGCTTAGATCATGTCCAATCCTGCTGGCTGTTTGATATCTTTACAACATATTCTATAATAAGAATATGTCTATACAGACTAGATTATTTCTAGAATTAGTATATTGATTAATATATTACAGTATTAAATTATATTAGAATTACTATATTAATAGATTAGTTAATACTAGATCTAGAATAGAAATACAAGATTATTATTCATTTCTTTTAATTCTAATCATTTTTATTCATTTTAATAAACTATATTGTGTTTCCTTTACAATTTACATCTAATCCTGATTGCATTCAGCTCTGGCGGTTTTACTGCTGGAGACTGAGCCGTTTTGCTCAGTCTCAATGACACTCTACGTTTTAACTGCACCTGAGTGGATTTGTTTGATTTCCATTTGAATTTCCAAATAATAAGCCTGCTCATTAAGGCTTGTTTTTGTTTCTCTGCATTCATCCATGCACACGCATTTGGGCCCTGTTCTGACCTCAGCTGCGACCATTTAAAATTCCGGCTTTGGTTTGTTGTCATCGATTATATGAGCGCACTCTATCCCAGCCAGCAGCTGTACTAAAACCTGCTCTGGAAGCCAAATGATACACAACTCACCGTCGCCTCCCCTGAAACGACAAAGTATTGGGAATGCGTTTTATATGCTTCCTCAGTGTAAATTTCAACAAATCTTTAAAAAATCTTTGCAAGCCTCTGAGACTAAATTAGCAAATCTGCTCTGCACAGGGTGATTCTGGACTTTTAAATCCTGTTTAAACCTTATTTTCATAAAAAAAAACTCTCCCAGCCGACATTCACACAACACAACGAGGTCCTAATATTGCATTTGTGTTTTTGTTGAGTGAGGCGTTTATCAGAATTTAGCACCAGGTGTAGATAGAACATTTCCCATTATGCAGATCTTCTCATTGGAGATGGTAATGCTTTATTTTGCACATTTTGCAGGTACTACGGGCTGTCGGTGTGGTTCCCCGACGTCATCAAGCACCTCCAGGCCGACGACTACGCCTCCAGGGTCAAGATCCACAACAACGAGCGCATCGAGGACTTCACCTTCAACTTCACCCTGGAGAATCAGATCCACAGGAACGGCGTCTTTCTGAACGACAGGTGAGAGAGGCGCAGGAACGTAAAAGCGTAAAAGCCTTCTTTGGCTCAGAGGTTTAGTTAAGGCTGCCCGCATTGTTTGTCATTCCCACAAACAAGCGCTGCAGGTAATATTAATCCTGCCTCCTTTATCTCCTCCAACACCAGGAAATTAAAAGGCTTATCTCCCTCTCATTCCTCCTCTTTGTCACACACACTCACACACACACACTCACACACATCAGCTCCTCTTCCTCCTGGTTACGAGTCTCACTTACAAAAAAGGCCAGAGAGAACACGCCTTAATATGTTGATTTTAGTTTTGCACTCTCACTGGAGACCATTTAGACAGAATAAAGACCAACACAATCACACAATGTAGAGGAACAGAGAAAGAAAGAAAGAAAGAAGAGAGAGAGAATCAAGTGGAAGAAACAGATGATTAAATAATGGAGATTAAAGATTTTGCATGTATTTAAAAGACAAGCAAGCTTGTGTTTGTTTAGGTCGTGTTTGTTGTTGAAGTGCGATTCCAAAGCTTCAGGTTGAACGGATGAAGAAAAAGGAGGAAGACATTTAAAGAAAGATCTATTTTGTGTTTCATGGAGTTTACAATGTGAACCTGCAGGGGTGTAGCAGTGCGTCTATTTTTCTGTAAAGCTACGGATGGCAGGGACCGTCTGATGTCCAGATCCTCAGCTGCAAAGGTTGACCTCTGACCTTTAGGCAGGAGCACCTCTGAGGACGTCTTCTTTGTGGAGTTTCTAGCTATTTACAGGTTGCCTGACTTGAATCTAGTGCCTGCTCTCCTTAGAACTTGACACAGTGACATTTTAACCAGATTTATTCACAGTAGATGTTAAAAAAAAAACTTTGATTTTTTTTGTTTCTCTTCTTTTTTTCTGAGAAATAATCAGAGGAACTGATCAGTAATTCTGTGATTGAGTTTAGCACAAACTGATCCTGGCTTGGAAAGATTTAGCTCCTTTTATACCAAATCCTGACCTCCTCAGATGTCACCAGCTAATTTACTTTTTACCTGTAGAGTCTTTGTCATGAGATTGTTGATTATCATTTTCAATTAACCAAAACCAACTATGTCATTCTATAAAAACAGTTGACACAATGTTTTATAGCCATTTTCATTCATTGACAGCTGTCAATTAGAAAATCCTCCAAAATGCACAAATCCAAATATTTCTATTCATTTTAAACTGAAGCAACTGGTTTGCGTTTTTTCTCAAAGGAAACTAATTCTGCACATTTGTGGTGAAGAATGTTTCACAAATTGCAATGAATTAACCTCTTAATCCTTCTCTCTGTCATCTCTTTCCACCCCCCCCCCCCATCCCCACCTCCTCTCAGGTTTATCATCATGAAGTTCAAGTCGGTCACATTCATCGACTCATCCTTCCTCAACTGCTACTTTGAAGACGTCTCCTCAGTGGGATCCTCCTTCAAAAACTGCACTTTTGTGGACTCTTTCTTTTACAACACGGGTGAGTCTGCTCACCTTCTGGGCTCTCCTCTTTCCACATACAGCTCACCAAACTGGCCAAACTGGGGATTTCCCAGTCTTTCTGTTTCTGTAAGACAACTTGCTTTTTTTTCAAAGTGTCAGGCTTTTAAAGGGAAAGGATGGCCTGACAGTTCATGGTTTAGCCTCAAGCTGCTAAATTACTGCTTAACCTCTATTCACCCGGCACAGATTGCCTATCTAAAGCTTCCAATGAGGTATTAAAAATATGATGATTTAGCTGACAGTGACACAGGCATATATCACCGAGTATCTAAATTACTCTTTTAATTTACTCATTGATCTTTTCTGATAGCCAGTATGAGAGAAAAAGATCTCAAACTCCACCATCAATGAATGCCAGCTATATTGCAGAGCTTGGTCCAGTCATTTTCAAACAAAAACAGAGACTGGCAGGAAAGGAAAAGCAGAAAAGGCAGAAAATAATCAGAGAAGCGGAGCTGAATCAGACCTTGTGAGAGTTCAGGGTGGGAAAACATTTCCCTGCAGCTCTCAGGAAAAGGCTGAACGTGGTTTTTCATTTCTAGATACTATTTAAAACTAGATTTTTTTTTTATCTTTGAATAGCGACACATTTAACACAGTTTGAATGGTCAAGGAATGGCTAATTTCAGCTGTTTAGAGGTGGAGGTGGAGGCATACCAGATGCATCATGGGTATTTATTCTGTTTATTTAAAGAATAGTATCCAGTCTGTTTTCCTGTCTCCAGCTCTGTGATGCTTTGGTGCACCAACCCTTCCAGTTCTATTCTTGTCTCTGTTTGGAAAGCTTTACTGATGTCTTCAACTCATTTTTAGGATCAAATTGTTCCCATAAACATGGAAAATCAATTTTTTTCTGATCATGCCGGACAGATGGAAACGGAGACCCTTAATTCCTGCTTTGAAAGTCCTCTTGTCTCTCGCGTTAACAGATATCGATGACACCAAGTTAACGAACTCCAGGGTGATCAACAGCTCCTTCCACCACAACAAGACCGGCTGCCAGATGACCTTCGACGACGACTACAGCGCCTACTGGGTCTATTTCGTCAACTTCCTGGGAACCTTGGCCGTGCTGCCGGGAAACATCGTCTCTGCGCTGCTGATGGATAAGATAGGGCGCCTGAGCATGTTAGGTACGGCTAAACATCGCCTCCGCCGGCTCCGGACCTGCTCTGACGTGTTTATCGGTGCACAAAATGTCTCATATTCTAGTCTAGTGAGTCTAGTCTCGGGTCTAGTGACGTAGATTGTGCTGTGCGGTGTCCTGCAGGAGGCTCCATGGTGCTGTCGGGCATCAGCTGCTTCTTCCTTTGGTTCGGCACCAGCGAGTCCATGATGATCTTCATGCTCTGCCTCTACAACGGCCTCAGCATCTCCGCATGGAACTCCCTGGACGTGGTCACCACCGAGCTGTACCCAACAGACAGGAGGTGGGCGAAAATACTGCAAAGTCGGCACAGAGGAGAGCATCCGAATCATACTGTATCTCCATGAAAATAAAAGGAGAATGATTTAATTTGAAGTATCACCATTTTTTAAGATTGTTCTAATTTTGAAGCATGATGCCGTCTGTGTGTTTAATGGGCACTTTTGTAAAGACGCATGCCGTATTATGGGCTCACATCATAATATTTTATAAAATCCAACTTCAAATTTGAGGGATCTCACAACTTTTATTCAGATCTTTCCCATCTGTTTGCAGTAAAATGGCTTCGTTTCTGAGGTATTACTCTGTTGTAAACATCTGTTTCCCTGTTTTGGATAAGCAGCACACACACTGATAATGTTTAATGACGCAGTAATGGTGTAAATAAGCCGGAGTAATAAGGTTTGATTCGGCAACATTTCTCCAGTCTCCAGCGGGGCTGTGGAGAGAAAGGCCGACCTTTCGCTTTGACTTTATTGCGCTCGAAATGATTAAAACAATTGACTGAACGAACCAATAAGCACAGAACTGCCTGCGGTACTGTAAAAACGTCTCTCTGTTTTTCATATTTCAATCTTCGTGGCAACATTTGCGCTCTATTATCCGAGTAAAAGGTCGATGTGCCCACTCTGAACGCTTCGACTGTGTTTTTCTGTCTCCAGGGGCACCGGATTTGGCTTCTGTAACGCTATGTGTAAGCTGGCGGCGGTGCTGGGCAATCTGATCTTTGGCTCGCTGGTCGGCATCACCAAGGCGATCCCCATCTTGCTGGCGTCCTCCGTGCTGGTTGGCGGCGGCCTGGTGGGACTCCGGCTGCCAGACACACGAGCCAACGTCCTCATGTAAAACCTCAGCGCAGAACCATGTGCTGTTGTTGTTGTTCTTTTTTACCAGGTTTTTACTCAGTGTACCGAATAATGACTCATTTACAGACTGGGTTTGATTTGAATATCCCCGAAACAGTTTTTGCCTTCGTCATTATTGTATAAGTTGTTTATTTGTAAAAAAAAAAAAAGCTGAGTATCTCATGGCAAGTATATGTTATTCTGATACTTCTGAGTAAAAGACCTGGTAAAAGCGAAAAGTTAAATGCAGTTTTATACAAGTGGAGCTGTGGATGTACAGACAAGGATCATCTGGGTTGTCAGTGATTACAAATCTATCAGTTGTCAAAAAAATTTGCTATTTGTGCTAAATTTGCAGGTTTTAGAATAAAATCATAGATGTAAAAGTCTGTAAATCAACAGCTGAGACTTTCATGGGCTCTTTCACACATGCAAAAACACAAAAGCATGTGCACAAAACTGCAAAAGGCTTAGACTTCTAGCAACCTTCCACTTTCAGATCGAACATAGTGCTGCTCAGATGAAAAAAAGAGTCGATATTTTTGGAAATACGCCTTTTTTTTCCACCTGCAGATGCTTAGCTCAGCTTATATTCTAATATATGACTCATGTTTCCTGTTGGAGACAACAAAGAGTCAGCTTTTCCTCCACCGGTAAACACACTTTTAGTAAAAATACACTCACGATCTGAGTTCATATAAAGGTTTAATCAAATTCTTTCAATCTATAAGATGTTTTCCTGGTTCAAATTCAGATGTCACATTCGATTTAGGCTTGGTTTGCTTTTGTTAGGGTAAGCTGCTCCACCATATACCCGGTAGGTTTTATTAGAAACCCCATTTCACAGCTCAGTACTGAGAGGAAAGCACGCAGATCTAAAAATGTGCCACTCTAAAATTCTCCTGCAGCACCTCTAAAGCTCGTGGGCTAACATTTCATATTGAGTGTGCTCTTTCCGCATCAAGCTATCGTAGAACACGAGCTCTCCTCGAAGCAGCTTGTGTTTTATGCAGAGCAGTAATTCTTAGCAGGACACAACAAACTGCGCCACATCCAGCAGACTGCCATAAAGCCAGTGTTTTTCTTTATTCCTGCACACTGGGGGAAAGAAACAAAGTGCATTTATTAAGAAAGAACGTTCTGCTTTATTTGTGTCTTTATTCTCACAGGGGATTGCAGGTCTTTTTTAATTCACAGCCGTCAGTTTTTTTGGCTTTAGGTGAAATTATTTTCGCATTGAAAATGTCTCAGCAGCTCAGAGCAAAATGAGGTGATAAGAAAGTCGAACTCTGACTAAAATTAATTCTCTTTTGGACCAAGTGGCAAAGAGAAAATGTGAAATGCTCCTGAAGTACAGCATTAGTTCAGAGGAACGACTGCATCCAGGAACAGTATATAAGGGTTTCATATTTTTACTTCAATGATTAATTTTATTGCATGGTATGCTGTTTTAAAAAAAAAACAGTTTAAGACATTACCAGTAAAATTAGTGAGTTAAAACACCAATAAAGAAGAGTAAATGTAGAGATAATAACAATCCGGATGGGACTTTTTTATTAGTATTTGATTTTTATTCTTTGTCAATGGTGCCTGGATTTATGCAAAGGTCAAACAGAAGATCTGTTTTATGTCTGAGCTTTGGAGTGTTTGACATATTTAGATTCTGACTTTTCCCCTGTTATCTTTATGTGATTTATGTGTTCCGAGGTCCGAAATGGAAGGTGCTTTTGACATCTGATTTAGTGCTTCTCTAAAGGTTGATGATCTTTAAGCCTTTTGCAGGAATTTGCAAGAATAACAAGGCCATAAAAATATCAACAACGAAACAGTAGTTTAGTCAAAAACCGGCAACTTCAGCAGCTACATTTCTAAAGGGAAAAGAAGTTTACATTTTCTGCTTTTTACAGTCAAAACTTCTGGAATTTGAATCCTTTTGTCTGAATGCTTCCTCTCTTGTGTCTGTACTCGTCTTGTGGCGCCGAGCTCATCACGAAATCTGACCTGTGAAGAAGAATTGATAGCACAGGGAACCCCTGTTGGTATCTCGATGTACTCCTCTCTTCTCATTGCCATTCGTCTCATTTGTCCGGTTTCCTCATTGGTGGGTCTTGTGCCCCCCCCCCACCCCCCCCGGTTTATCTCCTCCTGCCTTGCTGCTGCTCCCTGTGAAATTCAAAGGCCTTTTCTCAAATGTCGTGCCTCTCTCTCCGTCAAGCTCAACTCTTCTTCCAAACCTTTGCTGGAAGCTTTGCTGCTCTGTCCTGCTATCTTTCGATCTCCTCCCTCTGTCTGTGTACACGTGTGTGCCTGTATGTGTGTGTGTGTGTGTGCGGGTGTGTCTAGACACCAACTTTGCCAAGTTTTTTTGTGACACCAAGGAACTCGAGCGCAGTAAGAATACAGTTTTTGAGAAACTGAAATCAAGAGCCATGCTTAAAGGGTCATTTCACCCAAATTCCAAAAACAACAAACGCTGTTTTTACTCCTAAAATGACTTTAGTTTCTGTCATTTTGTATAATTGATCCACAATTCCTAAAAGATAATTGCCTTTAATCGCTTTCTGAAGCAAATGAACCCAGGTTTCAGTAGTTGTCTGTAGTTGTCCAGCAAAGATATGAGGTGTGATGGTCAGTCTTTGTCAGTATTTAGAGAAGTTTCTCAGGCTGCCCCATGTGACCCTTTTTGCCCTTTTAAAAATGAAGTAGAAGGCATTTTGCAGAACTTAATTGCTCTGACTTTGTCAATTTAAATAGTTCTTAAGTGGACAATGTCCCCAGTGCTGCAAAGCTTTTCAGACAGAGTTGTTTAATCATTTGATTTAATTAGAACACAGTGATTACAGCCACTTCTGCTCTTTGAATATATCTTGCTCAGTAAAAATCCACCTATCAACACTGAAGAAATGCCCCTTGAGCTATCATGAGGACTATTTTTGTGATTTGGGTGAAAAGGCTCGTTGAAACTTCCTGTGAATTCAATTGTTGCTGCTTCATTAACTATTTATATTTTATTTCATGTAAGAAAAAAAAAATTCTCAAAAGAGAAGACAAAAGTTCTTGTCTGTGTTTGTTCCAATACACAAAAAAGACAAAGCTCTCTACTGTTTTAGTCATCATTTTCAAAAACTGCTTTAGTGATGCTGTTTTTTTAACACCAGATATTAAGTCATATATCTGCGAGACCTGTTTCTCTTTAGTGATTCATTTATTTTTTAAGACATTTTCTAAGACTGGAAGATGTGAATCCTCCATCTCTTTAATGCTTTATCTGCATTGTTCCTGCCGCCACTTGAGCTTAAACGGAGCTTACATCAGAAACAAAACCCTGCATGTTTGTGGCTGAAGCCCCCCGTTCTGTGTGTGCTTTCTCCATTTTCGGTGTCTTCGCTGTTTCCTCTTCGGAGGTCAACAGACATGTTTTTTCCCGGGTTAAAGGCGAATGTATCATTCTTGTGTGTTGTCAGATTTGTCGTGGACAGGTGTTCGTTCTACAGAGATAAAAAAGGGCATGCTAGTGGTCAGACGGCTGTATGTGCCCAGCAGGGGTGGTCAGATCTGCTTAAAGTTGGATTCACTGCGACTCCAAAGTCACTGCAGTGGCCGTCAGACATGAAAACATGTGGAATAATATGTGGAAGTGTGTGTAAAAAAAAAAAAAATTAAACAAAACCTGTCCTTTATTTTGATAAGAAAAGGCTTAGCTAAATGCAGTGTAAAGGTGGATTCCTCATGTCCAATAAAGAGTTTCATTTGAGCAGCTGTGGGCCTGTTTTATCCGTCTGTTCTTAGTTCAACCAGGAGATGGCTCCATTTACACGAAATGAACAAACAATGTGCCTCCAGTTTTATGCAAATGGAGTCATTTATAATTTATTTATTTCGTTAATGAATTACTTTCATTTACGAGGATGGATTACCAGGCAGAACAATGCCAATACTGGGTCAGTTCAGCTTCTGGTAGATTCAGAGGGGCCACATAGAAATATGCTGGCTTGTGTAACAATAAATGACTTTGTTCTTGGATAGAATAAGCAGTTACATAATCAATTAGTGAGCGCCAAGCTCTCACCGTCATTCGGATGAGTCAGAATCTACACCAAAGTTGTAGAATCCAACTTTCTAGATCTTGCAAAACACAACAACTTGACCTGTTTTGAAGACAGACCTTGCATTCACTTTCTATTTAACTAAGTTATTATCTAAAAGCCTCGTACGTTTTACAGTTTGCACTATATTGAGTTAATATTTCTGGTTGATTTGAGTGAAAATGAACCAAAATTAGAAATGAGAACAGCTTCTTCGATGGTACAGTAGTTTTTGATTCATACCACCACTAACTTTCATGATTTAGTGACATGATTTAGTGTTTGTTTTTTGGTTTTGGACTCCTCAGCAAAACTAATGTTAAAAGTAACTGATAAAAACAAAGACATTATAAAACACAACGTCACAGGGGTTCAGTCTGGCTGATTGGAGATGTTCATTTGTGATAAGTGAACCTTCCTGGTTTTGATTGGTGGAGAGGAGCTCACCTACAAGCTCAAGAGGAGCTCAAACAAAGGAGACCAATAGGAAACATAGATGACTTAATCACTTCCCAACCAGCAAACGCGCTCTAAAACACCGACATAAACACGATTGGACTCATTACTCAGAGGAAGGGTCAGGAAGTGGCCCTTATCACCAAATAATCTTAGAAAGACAGGGTGCAAAAGCTGGTCCCCAAGAGCAGTTTGGAGAGGCTGATGAGCAACAGCGGTGAATCAGACCCCTCCCCGGGGGGCCGAGACTGGAAGATAACGCTTAACTTTATCAAAGCCGGCAAGAATGAGAAGAAAGGCTATTTTTACAGCTTCCTTTTACTGATGGAGAAGCTTCCTCTGTCCTTTGGCTGCTCCCTCAGCTGCCGATATGCATCCCACTGTTTGTGCCGTGTATTTTCTGTGGGTAAGAAAAGTCCCCTGACGTGTGGTTGATGGATTTGTCCCTCTTCAGACACCAAAAAAGGAAATGATTGATGTTACTTTGTGCACAGGAGGGGGTGAAAGAGCATTATCATGCTTCGATTTACTGCAGTCCAACACAATTGAACTGGATCCTAACTGATATTCAAGAACAATAACGTTTCCCCAATCAAAATGTGAATGAACAACTTTTAACACACTTTGAAATGGCACAAATTGTACTGTTTTCCAGACTCAAAATAAGTTACTTACCTTTTTATGTTGCAACAAACCATTTTATTCTAAGACGGCTGCCGAAATCCAGAATGACAAAGACCCAAAACAGCTGTGCTGTTTATCGCGTTGGAAGGAGTTTTTGGGGGCAGTTTGGAATTTAAATCTGTTCCAAAAGCTGCCAGTGTTTCTCCAGGACTGATAATAAATGTCTGTGTTTTCAGCAGTGACCTGTCGTCTCATTTGATAACGGGCCTGACGTGAGTCACTAGAGAGGAAGAGCTGAGTGAGTGTGAGGAAGTCATATGAGGAAAAGTCAGAGCGATCGAATCTTTGCTGACACATTTGCAGTAAATAAAACAAACAGCTGAACAGAATGAAAACTTTATCGACATGTTCACAACTCTTTTGCATCATTACTTTAACTGAAATGCGCAAAAAAAAGAAGCAAATAAGAAAAAGTCAGCAGGATGTTGGCCCTCGCAGGAGGATGCACGGCTTTAAATGGCTGCTTCGCTTGAGTTCTATGTATATCTGCAGTTATTTGCTTTGCAGAATGTCACCCCAGGACAGGAAGAGGAAAAAAAAACTCAGGGGAAATGCTGCCTTCATGATATCAAAATAGAAATTTTCAGAGACATGGCAGCCACTTATAGCATTACTTTGAATGAAAGTATGACAGGTTATTATTGCTTTAATTTGTTGTCAAAGTTCATGAAAAATTTACATTCTTACGACTAAATTTTGAGGTTTAAGTTATGTATATCATTTAAAAAACAACATTCTTTTCTATTATCTAGAAATTTTCAGAGACGTGCCAGCCGTTTAAATTATTACTTTGAATGAAAGTCTGACAGGTTATTATTTCTTTAATTTGTTGTCTAAGTTCATGTAAAATATACATTCTTAACACTAAATTTTGAAGTTAAAGTTATGTATATCATTTAAAGGACAATATTCTTTTCTATTATCTTAAAGTCAATAAATAACTATATGTACATATTAGTATACATGATATCATGGTTATTCTATTTTCAAAAATAAAAATACTATGTTAAAAACATCTCTACACAACAGGAACCCAGCTCCATCTCTGCTTCGCAATGAATTCAGAAAAGTCTCTCTCTTTGGATTCCAGCCAAGAGAACGGCTCCCTCCTCCCCAGTCACAAAAGCTAAACCCCTCAGTCTGTTTTTTTGTGTGGAGGCCCCCGGGGTCTCGGTTACAGCGAGATGCTCACAGTCTTGCCCCTGAACGTCATGAAAAACAGCTTGGCGCCCGCCGACTTGGACATGAGGAGGAAGAGGAAGGGGTCCAGGCAGGCGTGGAGGCAGCAGAGGCACGCCGCCGCGTTGAAGTGGGCGTACAGGCCCCGGTTGCCGCCGGCGACCAGCCGCGCGTAGTGGAGGAATCGCAGCGCGGCCGCCGGCAGGAAGCACGCCACGAAGATGGCGAACACCAGTGAGCTGGCCTTCACGTAGGCCGCCCAGTCGTAGTGCGAGCGGTTGAGCTCGCACACGATCCGGGCGAAGCACGCCACCGCCACCAGCAGCGGCAGCAGCAGGCCCGCCACGCTCAGCGCCAGGTTGGAGTAGAGCAGGAAGGCGTGCGAGGGCCGGTCAAGCGGCAAAACGTCGTGGCAGCTGGTGCGGTTCAGCTCGGGCAGCCAGTAGCTCTGCCGGACGGTCAGCTCGGGGGTGACCGCCGCCCCGAACAGCGCCCACACCCCGACGCTGGCCCACACGGTGGCCGCCCTCTTGGGGAGGCTCTTGTACAGGAACGGGTGCGCCACGGCCAGGTAGCGCTTCACGCTGATGCAGGCCAGCGTCAGGGCCGAGCAGTAGAGGTTGCCGTAGAAACAGGCCGCCACCGCCCGGCAGGCGGCCTCCCCGAGCTGCCAGTGGTTTCCGCTTAGGTGGTAGTGGGCCTTGAAGAAGAGGGAGACCAGCAGGAGCAGGTCGGACACGGCCAGGCTGCAGTACAGGATGGCCGAGGACACCTTCCGGATCTTTCCGGCCAGCAGGCTCAGGATGGCGAGGTTGGCGGGGATCCCCACGGCGGCCATCAGCAAATAAAGGACGGGGATGACCCGGGTGCTCAGGGGGCCGCGGAGGTACTCTATGGTGGCGTTGCTTAGCGACTGCAGAGCTGGAAGGGAATGAGTCGAAATGGGGCTCGGGGTGCCATTTAGGACGGACTTTGTCTGAACAACAGGGATCCCTATAAAGGATCTGGGCACGGCCGACCCATTTCTCTGCCCTGTGGTTCCTCTGACAGCTGCAACAGCAGAAAAAAAAAGAAAGTGCAAATTAATTCTATTCAGCCATTCACAAGGTTATGGTTGAAAAATCTTAACAGGTACTGGTTCCCAATCCTTTCAAATAGATTCTGTCTTTAATCGTTTATTTGTCATGTGTGTAATGAGAGCAAAACAGGCTCCAAAAGGTCGATGGATGCATTAAGCCGACAATGAATTTGAGGATTTTTGTCAGTTAGTAACTTATGAAAACACTGTTGACAATCATCAGATTTAATAACCTAAAATGAGGCGATGTTACATGATGATTTAAAAACTCAAGAAGGATTAAACTATTTTCTTGTGTTTCATTTTCATACTTAACTAAACTATGGTTTGAAATACCATGAAAACACACAGAGACGGAGTCTTACCCTTCTTCTGGAGCGTACCCCTCATGAGGAGAACAAAAAGCAGCGCGCACGGAAAAAGTTTCCCCATTTTCTCCGCCTCTGCGAGCAGCAAATCTGTGCTCTGGGGGCGACTGGCTCCCCTCTCTGCCGAGCTGTTTGCGTTTGCTGTTTGGTGCCACCCTCGTGTTGTGTGTCACATCCGTGGGAGTATTCGAGCCGTGAGCACCTCCTAGAATCGACAGAGTTGAAGAGACGGGGGAAAAAAAACAGAAAAAAAGGAGGGCTTCTGCTCAAGACTGGTCAGAGATCTGTTGTGCGTTTGCCCATGATGGTTGTGTATCTATCCTGTGCTCAGTGCTACACTCTTTTATGTATATTGGGGCTTTTTATTTGAATAAACTTCCTCCTTTGCCGTCCATATTTTGCCACCCACGTCGTTTTTTTGCCCACTGATGATGAGCTCAGGTTGTGTGCTTGCTCTTGGGAAATGTGATGTGATGTAATGCATAAAAAAGGGTTCAGTGAGGAAATGCCTGCCTGAAGATGATAAGCAGGCTTGTCTCGACACGCGCAGTGTAATTTGTGTCTCACTTCCTCTGTGAAGGGCTTTTTAAAAGTTTAAAAGTTTATCTGACGCGCGTGCAATTTGTTCCATAAACCTGTGAAAAATGAAGAGTCAGCATATATCACACAAACATACATACAGTGCAGAATAACACTTTTAAAAAGCCAGTCAAAGCACATTTGTTTCAATAGTTTGAACATAAACAAAGACATGTATCTGCTTATGTGAGAAACAGGGGGAATTTGAAGTCCTGCTCACCAGTGGACTGTTTATTGTCTTAATATTAACATCCAGCTGGTCCCAGATGTGACTCCAGTCTTTTCTTATTATCTATCAAACCAGTTTCTGTTTTTTGTTCTGAGCATAAGCATCTGTTTGACCTCTCAGAACAAACTATTATTAGCACATGTGTCATACTTCTAAAGGAGGGAGGAAGACCATGGCCACAGAAACAGGAACATTTCCACACTCAGACATCGCAACGACGTCAGAGCGGTTTTGGTTCATTTCGATGGCGACTTAATGTTGTCAAGTAATCTCAAAGAAGTGGCTTTTTTGAGTGAATTAAACCGAAGAAGGCCTACAGTGATGCTCAGCGCCCGTCTGCTTCCAGCATCCTGTTGTGCTTCACAGTTAAACTTACTGTTTCTCTTTTTTTTCCACCCCAGAATTCAAGCTAGTTTTCTTTTCACTTGCTCAGGAAGAGACCATTGTTCCAGTCGAGCCACAGAGAGAATAAAAAACATCAGTTTCCCTTATTTAAGAGGTTGTTTGACTTCAAGTGAAGAAAAGGGACCCTCTCTTTCTTTAAAAGTTAAAGGAAGAGGGACAATATTCTGCCCCATTGTGCGCGATAGCATCTGTAATGTTGGTTCAAGGTTATAAATCTTACCATAAATCCAACAACTTTTAAGGATTTCATCCGTCCAAACTTGCGTTTTCCAAAGATTCAAGTTATCTAACGCCAACCCTAACTGACAGGCGACAGAAATGGTGCGAGCATCCTGTCATTTTTCATGGTCATTACGTGTAATTGCTGTTTCTCACAGATGGTCCAGATAGGTCAGAAATGTAAATCGTTTCCTGTGCTTTGCCAATTCAGACCTGTTGGCTGCTTCTTAAAAATGCCATCTAATGAACATGGCAGATTTTTCTTATGACTTTCATTTTCTGTGATGTAAACATCCCTTACGACACATTCGTGTTTTTTATTTCTATCTACACATGATAAGGGGGAAAGGGGTTCGTCACAAATTAAATCAAATATCCCTCTTTTTCTTTCTTTCTCTTTTTTTTTACAAGGAATTTTCCCATGATTCCCTTTGCTGATGTGGTCTGGAACTTCATGTTCTTGTCACATTTGTTTCCAGATGCTACTAGCAGCTGTTTTCAGCTACCACTGGCCCACTTAACCAATTAATTGCGTCATTGAGTGACTCCGGCCAAAGCGAAAGAATGCAAAGTTTTTCTTTCTCTGGGCTGTAAAAGTATTTAGTAACTAACTTTAGAAAAGCAGGAGGGAACCCACATATCAAAGAACGGACAATCCGTTACACAGCACAGTCACAGCACAAAAGTATTTAATACAGACAGAGGTGCTCCACAGAGCTACATTATGGTCAATAAATTGGGTATAGAAAAAAATAAGAAGAGTCTTTTGTCTAATAAATGTTAGTTTGAATCTTTTCATCCCATTTTACATGCTGTGCCCAGTCTACTTTTTTGTTGTTGTTTTCTTAAATCTTAAATGTGCTGTTTTTTTCACAGTTTCTAGTATTTTTTCCAGCCGTTCTGAGTTGTCTCATCACTCAGTTAATAAATGATTTTCCTTCAACCTTTAAATGTAGACATGTGGTGGAGTGTAATGCCATTTGAGGCGCTTCCCTTTAAATAGATTTTGGACCTGTTAAATATGTTTAAACTGAAACACTTGAGTAATTCTACAGTAGAACTCTTTGTTTGTGAGTTATTTGTGTTTTTCCAGAGAAAAACTGACACTAGTCTCTGAAATGTAAGTGTTAACACACATCATCTATTTCTCCTAATGCATAACAGTTTCTCCCAGTTGTATTTGAATCATTTTACACTGAACTGATTACGGGACTTTATATTAGATAATAAATGTTTTTGCTTCTTGCCATGTGTCTGTTTAAAATCGCCTGTGTGTGCAGAATTCAGGTTTTAAGCTTTACTTTGTGTGTTGATGCTCTGCTGGCTGCTTCACCACTTTGTTCTGTCCCTGTAAGGTTCTCATTATCTGCTTCTCATAGAAAACGAGAAGCATCGTGCCAAAAAGTGCTGAGTCATTTTCAAACGTTCAAAGGGGTTTTGAGCAACGGCTGTCTGAAGAGTTACCAGAGTGTTTTACTTGTCATTGGTTGATTATTTTTTCGGCTCTTTTTTGAGACGTGTCATAGAGCCAAACAATTTTCAGAGGAATTTCAGCCTGGGCGCTAAACCACATAACATAATTTGGAGAAATTCTCTGCCCCTTTTCCTTCCTTTTGCCCCTTATCAGAGAACTGGTATGTAGTTTCAGAATTCATGGTTTGGCCTTTCCATTTATTACTACGCTAAAGCCCACATTTTGTTGAGTTATTTACTCTTTATTGGCTCCAATTGAATTCTATTTTATTGTTTGAAACTGACTGTGCTTTTGGTACACACAAATCTGATGTTTTCTGGGTGTCATTTTCACTCTGTGAGCATGTTTAGTGTGCACGTTGAACAAAACAGGAAGATGCTGACACAACTAACAAGTTGGTTTACTAGTTTGGCTTCTGGCTCACTTTTACAGCCCTTCATTCTTCTTCTCTCCGTGCGCAGTTTAATACTGATATTATTTTTTTTTAAAAGATGTCTTTCCTGGCATGAAAACAACCAGGGAACATGTCAAGATTTGTTTCAGCTGGAGCGGGCTTTGAAACAACAGGCAGAAGGTTTGCAGACCTGGAGCCGTGCCAGGGACTTGACCGTGGAGCTAATCTCCCACAGTCTGCATCCTGCCTCCTCCTCCCATCAGGAACGAGCCGGTGCTGGTTCAGACCCAGCCCGGCCCAGCGGGCGGCCGGAGCAAAACGACCTGTACTGCATGTCCTCCCTTCCCAAACTCCACACTTTCTGTGTCTTTTTGTTTTGTTTTTTTTTCTCTAGACTATCGGTCCATCAGGAAACTGGTCGCTAACGCACAGGAAAAGATCGCCCCTCTCCATTTCCCTTCCAGCTCTTTGCAGCTAAAACGTCTTCCTGCTCATTCTTTCGGTTCACTCCCGCAAAAAAAATATGTTGTTTTGAGCACGAGAGAAGAGAATTACACAATTCCCGGCAAGATGTCAAACAGCAAGCTCATAAAAGAAAGAACACAGTGTAAAATTGAACAGCTAAAACAGCAAAAATGAGGAATATTTCATAAGTGAATCAAACCGACAGATGTTGACTTCATATTTTTGTTTCTTTTCTCATTAAGAACACATTTAGTTGAGACATCTGGGGCGTGATTCTCAGCCTGAACACAAACCCTGCTATCTTGACCCAAAGAGTCACCTTTTGACTTTTTTTTTTCTTCCCTCAATGTTTTGAAACATAGCCAGGAACTCTCTGTTTTTCCGCAGCTCTGTCCTTTGGCTTGAACCTGTCACAGTGGTCAGGGATGGACAAGGGTTGGCTGTAAAAAAGTTGTTTTATTAATCCCACCCTGATTTTTTTAGGCAACAAAACCAGTCGGAAATTAAATTTAAATGCTATCCGAAGCATTAAATCCATTTTTGATTGATGCACATTAGCATCCGATTGTCACATCCAATACATTTAGGCATCACTTACATTTCTATGGTGATTGTTGTCTTAAAAGTTCAAAATCTTGAAAAACAATATACAAAAAACCATGTTGTGTCATGTCGGATAGAGCTGAAAATATGATGCAGTTTGAGCTTAATGTCCACACAACACAAATAACTGAAACCCAAAACCTTCCATTTAAGGACCAAAGCTCAAGATGCATCCGGTTGGCCCAGACTTTTCCCATAAACACCTCAGAGAGCCCTCCCCATTAAACATGGCGTGGTTCAGTCAACTTTGTCTTTTACATGTTCTTTTACTTACACCATAGCATACAAGGTGGATGTTGTTTTATTCATAAACTACTAGATATTGACCCAATCAGATTAAACTCTCTTACGGGATATTTTTTGGGTCCCTGAGTGGTTTCAAAGCCGTTTGAATGTTTGTACACTGATGGAAAAAGAGGAAACTAGATATAATTTGCTGTCTTCTAATGAACACAAAGTGTGTTTGTACACAATCCACCTGAATGTGGATGAAGTGAAATCCAGACATCAGCAATTCCTTATCAAATATTCTCAGAAAAGTCTAATGTTGGCACCATGATGCTCATATTGTGAAGATCAGACCTCTGTTCAGTAAGTAAACTCCCACCTGATAGTGACGCAACTGATTCAAATCACCTGACGTTCATTTCAACCCTAATTGAAGTCAGTCCAAATCCTCCCATTTTGCACACAGATCTTCAATTTGTGCCCTGAAAATGTCCCATTTCCCTCATTAAAGTCTTATTCGTCTTGTATGATTTAAGGTTTAAGAGTGACTTCAGTAATAAACTCAGCGGGAAATATTTCAGCGGGAGCAAAAAATAAGAAACAGATTGCTGTGACAACTGTTAGGAAACTGGGAGGAAATGGGTCCAGCCTGGATGTCTGATGTCTGAGTCCCGGGGGACATGAGGTCCAGGGTAAATGAGTCAGACGGCGTCCACCCCCCAGCACCATGCCAGAAAGTCTTCCTCTCACACAGAGAAAGGATATTCCTTCCATTCCTATCATTCTCTGTCGAACACTTTCTGTTTTTGATCACTGCTCCTCTTTTCCGAAGCAGTAGGAGTTATGTTATCAGACCCATGAGGGGGAAAAATCCCCCAGTTTTAAGTCAAGGGGCGGGGGGGCTGTTATGTGATCTACCAGATGTAGATTACATTACAATGGCACGGCTTGTTTACTTAAGTTGTAAACAAACACACTCAGGCAACATTTTGGACAAAAAAGGGAAAAGACGTCACACAGAGTTGATGTCAACTTTGTTCAGCACTCAGATGGGATTCGGCCCCTCGGCCCGTACTTCAGATGACCGGCCCCTCACAGGACCATCATCCTATTCTCACACTGACTCGTCAAAAAAATACAAATAAAAACAAAGCTCGCAGACCAAAGCGAGGGGAGCGTCCATCTGATGGTGGTTAAACACACTGTGAGTCAGACTCCAGAGTTAGAAAGCTTTAAGGCTCCCAGCGGAGTTCAAGGTTCAACATTTTTACCACTTTAACATCAAAGCTGTGAGCTTCTCTGGTTGCGTTTCTGCCACCAGAGGTTACACTGTAAAAGTTTTACTGCAATTCTCATGTTACTTACTGACATCCAATAAATATGCAACAATATTTTTAGACCTGCATGATCATTATACTTACATTTACTTCAGAATAAGCTTTATTAGGACAGCTTCCATTGCCTGAATTTGGTATATACATAAAGATATTTCCTTATCATCAAAGGAATTGAAAAGAATAATAAAGATCATATCTCAAATGAGCAAAATACAACATTTTGCCACAGTCGTGACATCACACGTGACAAAAAAAAATACAAGTAATTCCTTCTTATCTAGTCTAAAGCGGTGTTTGTGGCTCATTTGGAGTTTGGATGTGGTCTCATTAGGTCAAGCTGTTGCTCTGTGACGGGAAAAGTGACTTCAGCCGAAAAGAATTTGTCTCTCTCCTCAGTCTGCCACTGATTGGTGGAGAGGGGGGGTTAGGACCAGCGGGACACTGGGCGGACACCAGTCGGTGCTCAGTCCGTGGCTGCGTGATGAGCAGAGGGAGCCCGAGCAGAGACCAGGAACGACCGCAAAGCCCCGGCAGACAGTCTGAATCATCCTCTCCTTTAATTTTTCATCCAACGGCGAACGTTTGCTCCAGCATGAGGCTCTCTGCGCCGCTGGGGTGCCTGCTCTGGTGCGTAATGGTGGCGCAGTGCGCCGCCTTCTCCACAAATTCAAACGGTAAGAAAACTTCCACAGAACTCCAGGACGCGCCGAGACAGAACACAGAACTGTAAAACTGCAAAAAAAAGCCACAGATGTGGCGCTTTGGATCATCCATTCACTGTTTCTGACGAACAAGAAACGCCTAGAATTGAGGATTTGGGAAATGTCAAATTGTTGGTTTCATGATGGAAATGATATCCCAAATTTTTCCACGCCTTCAAACAGACTTGTGCAATTGAACAGAAAGATGTAAAAAGCTAATTAATAAGAGATAACATTTTGAAAATTCTTAGGAAAGAAGAATATTTGAATTTGTTCCTGTTTGATTATTTGTTTAAGGGCTTTTTAGAAGACATATTTTGAGCTTGGAAGTATCAGAAAAAATACTTTTTAGTGATTTAGTAAATGGTTGTTTTGAGCCACTGGATCAAGTATGGGACACTTTTCGCTTCTTGTGATAAATCTGTCTCCTGACGCCTCTTTTTTTTTTTTTCTTTCTTTCCAGACTCTAGAGCTCGGACATTTCTCCTTTTTGACCGTTCGGGCACAGACGAACCGATCGACTTCAGCACGGTTTTAGGATTTGAAGACGTCAAACTGAACGCCTCTAACGGGAGCCGGGGGCTGAACGGGGCCGATAGCGGGCCCAGGATCTCTGAGGAGGCCCTGCTGTACCTGACGGGCCCCGTCTCCACCCTCCTCATCCCCTCCTTCTACTGTCTGGTCTTCCTCGTCAGCGTGCCCCTGAACGTCTGCGCCGTGCTGGCCTTCGCCCGGGGGATCCGGCCCAAGAAGCCGGCGGCCATCTACATGCTGAACCTGGCCGGCGCCGACCTGCTCTTCGCCCTGGTGCTGCCCTTCAAGATCGCCTACCACTTCCTGGGCAACCACTGGCTGTTCGGGGGCCTCATGTGCCGGGTGGTCACGGCGGCCTTCTACTGGAACATGCACAGCTCCGTCCTGCTCATCGCCTGCATCAGCGCTGACCGCCTCCTGGCCGTGGTCTACCCCATCGACTCGCTGGCCTGGCGGCGCCCGCGCAACGCCCTGGCGGCGTGCGCCGCCATGTGGGCGCTGTCCCTGGCGGGCTCGGTGCCGCTGGTGGTCTCGGAGCAGACGGCCGAGCTCCCGGAGCTGAACGTCACCACCTGCCACGACGTCCAGCCGTGGGGGCGGGCGGCCTGGCTGAGGGCCTACTTCCTGACCGTCTGCTGCGCCCTCTTCTTCCTGCCCCTGCTGGTCACGGCGGCGTCCTACGCCCGCGTGGTCTGGTCGCTCAGGAGGGTCCCGCAGGGCATTTCCGGGGGCTCGCGCAAAAGGACCCGCGCCGTGGTGATGGCGCTGACCGTCCTGGTGATCTTCGTGCTGTGCTTCATGCCCACCAACCTCCTGCTGCTGACCCACTACCTGCTCATGGACCAGGACCTCCGGCAGAGCCGCGAGACCCCGGACGGGTCCTACGGGCTCTACCTGATGTTTCTGTGCTTGGGGAGCGTCAACTGCCTCCTGGACCCCCTGGTCTACTACTTTGGCTCCTCCCAGTGCCAGCGACAGCTCTCCAAATTGCTGAGCTGGCGGAAGACGGCGGGGATGAGGAGCATCGCCCACTCCTCGTCCGACTCCTGCAGATCCAGCAGGCGGAGGATTCTCAAGTCCCGCCACACCGAGAGCTCCAAGTTAAGCTCCTCGGTCACCAAGATGGACTCTTTGCCGGACAACCTCAGCAGCCAGTACAAGAAACTCCTGGTGTGAGCTGCTGCCACACTGAGCTGCATCGATTGGGGTGTTTTATTTTAACTGACTGGTTTTTAATTTTTTTTAAAGTCTTGAAAGCGACACAGGAACAATTTGAAATCGAAGCCTTTGCACTTAGGCAGCTCTTACTTTACGGCTTTCTCTGGATGTTTCTCCTTTATCATTAGGACTCAGGGCAGGAGAACTTGTGATGCCAACCCAAACAGTGAAAACTGCTGCTTTCACCGTTTCAAATGTGCCATGACACGACTTAAAGCCAAACTGGGGAAGGAAGTTGTGATGAGATATGCACAGTGGCGTGCGTCCGTTCCTGCTCTGTACCCTTACATTTGCACGTAAGGAGCTCATGCAGTTAAACCTACATCTGTAGATAAGATGTTGCATTTAATGGAAGTCTACTGCTCTGGATTATGTGTACTTTCTGTTTATTGAAGGAGATAAGCTTATGTGTAGCACTTGTGTATCACCTCTGTAGAGCTGTCAGTCGTCTCTTTTTATATTTTTGTACAGCTTAGCTCTGGGTTTGTTGTCTGCTTTTACATTTTTAATAAATATTTTTGACACTCAATGGAATTTTTAATCCAAAAAGAAACAAAAACAGCACTACGAGATCAAACTGTGTTCCTGAATGGTTTGATTCGTGCTGCCACCTGCTGGCGAAAGGTGAGAACGACGATCTTCCAATGGAGGATGCCTTCATTCTCAAGCCCCAAAACCACACAAACAAGTAAAACTACACAACAAAAAAAAAAGCCTGGTGAGGTTTTACATGAGCATATCAGCATGACTGGGTGTTTTTTTAAAAAAGATTATTTCATCTTAATTACCCCTCATTATTTAATAGATACTTTTAGCAAAGGTTAGACATTGTGTCAAAGGTTAAAATAAACTATATTAGGATTTAGGTAAACTTTTTTTTACACCGTCAAATAAGTATTTGAAATCAGTCTTTATGTTCCAGCAGGTGGTGCTACATCACTGTATCCAAAGAAAAAAGCAATATGGAACCCAAAACACAATTTACACTATGATAATCATAGAAATGAACAGCTTTCTCTAAAGTCAGCTACACTTTTCTCACTTTAAAGCAAATACACAAATCCAAAGATTATATTTTTGCAAATACCACATGATGCTAAAAAAAGGCATCAAAGGCATAAATAAACCATTCTCAGTTTTAAAAAAACGTGCATTGGGTAATAATCTTTTAACAAAAGAGTATTTTAATACATTTTATATCCTAACACTTGACATATGAGTTTAATTAATTTGCCAACAACGTCAACAGAAATAGAATAAGTGCCAACACACATTAGTAACAGGATGTGATGCCACTTAGCAGCTGGTTTAAACAGATATCTGATGCCTGACTACTAAATACCTTCTGATGACATCTCAAACCAACCGTGTCTACAGGTACCAACGTCTAAGTTTCGTTAGATAGCATCTCTGGTTGTAGGAAAACAACGAAATGGATACAGGGTGTGTCTTCTCTGGCTGTGCGCGGGCCACGTGACGCGCGACGTCACACAGGTATGAAAACCACTCGTTGGTAGGAGCCGGAACAAAGTGCAGAGGCAGCGCGGCGCACGCAGAACTTCGGCTTTGGGGAAAACAGGACCGTATCTGGTTTGTGATGGCCTCCGGGACGCGATGGCTGCGGCCGCTCCTGCTCTGGCTGCCTGTGTGTTTGGCGCAGAGCAGTCTGCCGCAGAAAGGTAGGAAACACGCTCGTTGCTTTCCAGTTTACTGCTCGAGCTGAGTCTGGGTCAACGCCTTCAGGGCGCGCGTAAACCTGTTCAGTGTGTGTGTTAGTGTGTTAGGTCTGAGCCTGGGCGGATCTGTACGCCTGAAACATTTAGGTCAAAGTAAAAAGACTAAAAAAGGGATGTTATTAAGGGGAAACGGGACAGATTGAGCTTCGGGGCTTTGGGTTTTGACACTTTTGACCATTTTACCCGACTGTTTTGCAGAGGACAGAGGCTTCTCCGGCACGGAGACCACGGACGGCGTGTGGGTCAGCTCCGACGCCAAGCAGATCCTGACCAGCGGGCTGACCACCGCCTTCCTCCCCGCGGTCTACATCGTGGTCTTCGCCGTGGGGCTGCCCACCAACGCGCTGGCCGTCTGGGTCTTCCTCTTCAGGACCAAGAAGAAGCACCCGTCCTCCATCTACATGGCCAACCTGGCCCTGGCCGACCTGCTCTTCGTGGTCTGGGTCCCCCTGAAGATCGCCTACCACCTCAACGGCAACGACTGGGTCTACGGCGAGGCCCTGTGCAAGGTGCTGGTGGCCTTCTTCTACGGGAACATGTACTGCTCCATCGCCTTCATCGCCTGCATCAGCGTCCAGCGCTACCAGGCGGTGGTGCACCCCATGGCCCGTCGCCACGGCGGCAACCGGGTGGCCGTGCTGGTGTCGGCGGCGGTGTGGGCGTCCGTGTGGCTCCTGACCGTGCCGCTCTACCTGTACGACCAGCAGGTGACCGCCACCAACCTCAACGTGCGCACCTGCCACGACGTGACCCGGCCCAGCCAGAGGAAGATGGCGGCGGGCTACTTCCTCACCATGGGGACGCTGGGCTTCGTGGCGCCCACGGCCGTGTGCGCGGTGTCCTACGTGCTCATGCTGCGGGCGCTCCGGAACAGCATGGCCGACCCGGCCGTGGCCAAGAAGCGGCGCAAGGCGGTGGTGCTGATCGTGACGGTGCTGGTGATGTTCGTGGTGTGCTTCGCGCCCAGCAACGCCATGCTGCTGGCGCACTACGTCCTGCTATTGGCCGAGGCCAACAACAACTGGTACGGCTTCTACATCACCACCCTGTGCTTGGCCAGCCTCAACAGCTGCTTCGACCCCTTCGTCTACTACTTCATCTCCGAGGACTTCCGCCAGCACGTGAAGAACACCTTCCTGTGCCGGAGCGAGAGGACGGTGGAGAGGATGCGGGTGTCCTTCAGCGCGCTCAAGTACTCCAAAAAGAGCAGCACCTACACGTCCGACACGGGGACCACGCAGAGCAGCAGCTGCTAGCCTCCAGGTTTCGGCCCGGTCGGAAATTCGAACCACGCGCGAAGATTTTAATGGATTTTTTTACAAAGATTTTAATTTACTGGACGTTTTGTGTGAATTTATTTTGGGTTTTTTTCTTGTATATATTCTGTGAATTCATTTAGTCTGAACTGTTTCGATGACCCATTATTCACACATTTTTGTTGTTGTGTTCTTTAGTTGACTTTTACTAAGCCTGGATATAAAGGATCGGTCATTTCTGTTTGTTGTACTGAGATGAATTGTTTTTTTTTCTTGGTGTGACAGAAAGCTGTTGTACATATTAGACTGCATCAATTAAAGTCCTGATTTTCAGTTTGTCGGCCGCTTTTGTGTCTTCAGCCGTGTACACAGAGGGTTTAAAATGATCTGAAAATGTTTCAGAAAATTGTCCAGGTGACGCTTTACATTTCAGCAGAATTCAACTTTCTTCCAGCTTTAAGAAGAGACGTATTCTGAATATTCAAAACTCAATGAGAACATCTGTCACCACAGAACTACTTCAGGTTCTTTCTTCATCCTGGGAAAATGCTTTGATCCTTGCCTGATTTTTCCTTTATGTCTTCCCTCCAAGCAGCCAAACATTCCTGTGTCTTTTAAAGTGGTCTTCAGACGTCCAGGTTTCCTCAAAGTATTTCTTTCTTTCATTGGCATTCCAGCCCTTGTACCCGAAACTTCTCGGAGCAATATAGTTTTTTATTTGTCAGGCCACTTGACACTGACCTGTGAATCATTCACACACCAAGCTCAAAGGATAAGCCAGTGTACTCTTGTTTTTTTCCTTTATTTAGTTCAATTTTTATAGAAAACACAAAAGATAACACAGTTTGACAGACAGAAAATGGGACTTTAGCAGCCAGGGGGTGATTCCCAAAGAGCCGTTAGCTGGAAAACACCTCAGCATGGTGTGCCGTGTGTCCTTAAAACAGTTTAGGAATACAGGAAATGCTCTCTATGGAAGGGTGGCAGCTATTCTCGACAGTGGTCAGAAAACCTGCTGCAACAGGTAGGCCTAATGTTGCAAACCTGGATGTCTTGGGCTATATTTAAACCGCTTTTATCACAAGATGTTGAGTCACAACTACAACCCAGAAAAATCTTAGATCACCAACCAAGATTTCTTGTTCAGTCTTGCTTGACGCTGCGTTTCAAGCTGCCTGGTCTTCTTAGAAACGTTCTTCCACCTTTTTCCTGTTCCTAGAAATGCGAGTTTGTTAGCTGGAAGGGCAGAATTCCCTCATTTATTCGTTAGATGTACATAAAAAGTGCTGGAGTGTCTGAAGCCTACATAAAGGTGCGGACTGCTCTGTTAGAAGGCATCCACATCTGATATAAACACATTCTTAAGTCGGAGCGTCAGGGGGATCTGAGTACCAGTGAGGGAGATGTGCAGACCCAGGGTTGCCCAACTATGGGAGGACAAGCGATCATCTCCAGACCCGTAGCAACCACTGTGAGGATGGAACAGTGGGGAAGGGAGACCAAATATGGGAAGGTGCGAACTCTGGGTAATGGAGGACACACCCAGAGTAAGACCCAAGTTCTCCGACATTCGCCTTAGAGACATCTCAAGATTTGATGCATCGATCGGCCCTTCTGGTACGGACATGGCTGAAAATAAAACCTCCTTAGCACGACCGGGCCTGTCTCAGCAGAGTCTTTCCCTGCTGCATCTTCACCTGAGCTGTTTGGACACGACCGTCTCCATGATACAACACCAGGAATACCCCAGAGGAAAATTAAGTCACACTCTGATCATGTGACTCATCTGTTCTCAGCCAGAGAAACCTGTCCGACGATGACTATTTATATAGAGTGACCTCACTGAGTCAAAGAGCTGTGGACATTAGACACACTGACACACTGGCTCATGCCCCTTCTCCACCACCTCCCTCAGGAGTTTGATTTGCTTGATGATTTCATTATTTGTGTTCGAACATGTCTAGGTGTAAGATTTGGGCTGAGTTTAGTGAGACGGTTGATTTTCTGTCCGATGAAACCATCTAAAGACACTTTATTTGTTGTATTTTAGGGCATTTTTAAAAGCCAAATAATTTCGAATGAACTTAAACATTTGTTGTTGTTGTATATACAAACATTTTCTAAGGTTAAAAATCATCTGGGTTGTCAAAACAGATCTTATTTCTATTCACTTTGAATGTGTTATCTCCCAAAACACCAAAAATCTGCATTAAGAAAGGTTAACATATTAAGATGGGATTATGATCTAAATAGAATTAGATCCCCTGATGAATTAAAATTAATCTAAATATATAGATAAGATTAACCAAGTGCACTGGGGATGCTTAAAACACATCAGAGAGACGATACTCATCTTGCACATGCTCAGTGAGAGCTCTGAACATTTGTTTTGTTGATTCGGTGTGCAAGAGTCAAGGCAGACCCGGTTTAACCACATTGGTTTATTTGTCCTCCGGCATTATCAAAAGAGGCAGGGTTATTCTCTTTCATTTTAGACGGAGAACAAAGCAGGCTTCCCTTTTGAGACAGCTGTTGTGTCCAATGAATACGTTTAGTTCATATTTTATGAATGAACCAAAACAGAAATGAGGTCAAAGTTCAATCAAACCCCCACATGAAATGACGCAGAGGCAGTGTTTTGTAAAGCAGCCGGCAGGAGGGCCTCCCGATTCCTTATTTAACAGTATCAGAGCAGAAGAAGCCTCAAACTGATCCAAGTCTGATGTTTCACTGTGCTACTCCCATGCTTATAAATTAGTTTAAGTGTTTTTGCATTTTGCACTCTTTTATCCAAAGCGACTTACAAAGTAGACACAATTTTACAGTTATCATAAATTTGACTATAAGTTCTCTAGAGGAAAATCCCCAGTCAGAGTCAGTAGTGGAGGCAAAGAGAGAGAGAGAGGGAAGCAAAGAAAGAGTAGTGGAGGGGTATAGAGGTCTGGGAAGAGTTAGGATAAGAGATGCTCTTTGAAAAAGTGGGTCTTTAAGAGTTTTCCCAAAGATAGAAAACGACCAAATGTTATTAAATGCTCATTAAGACAATATACATTTACCTTCTCCTCAAATGATTAGTCTTTTTAAGAACAGTTTCTAAATATGGATAAAGATAGAAAGAAAGGTGGAAAAATTCATTGAGATACCATTGAATACAGACTGAGAAAAAAAAACTGTTTTGATCCCGGTTTTACCTTATTATGAGTGACAGAACCAGAGTTTATTTTAAGAAATACTTCTCATCGTGGATTTCTAAAGAGTGAAGTCGATCATTCCTGTTTCGCTGACAAGGTGAGGCCCACGGACGCGTCTGATAGGGTGAAACCGGCCCGGTGGGCGGGTCGCCGGTGACGTCAGCGGGAGCGCAGGTACTCTCAGGGAGTGTCCGGGAAGAGAGATATCCGATACTTAAGAAACCGTGGAGGAAGGACGTGTTAAACTACGCCAGCCGCGCGCAGAGGACACAGACATGGATTTCCCACGGAGGTTTTGGCTCCTGCTCGTTTTCTGCTGGATTTCTGCCTCGGAGGTCGCAGCAGGTAACAGATCCGACAGTGGAATTTGCCACTCTCATCCAAAGAGAGTTCAACTAGAAGCTTAGTTAATGATTAAGTAACCTATTGTTTTCGGAGAGTTTTAAAACTTGCTCGTTGGATCGATTGTGGGCAACAGTTGATGAAACATTTTTTGGCACACAAGACGCACCAGAGGTCGTTTATATTATATTTTGATGTAATCTATAGAACTAGTGGAGGTGTAAATACTTTAAAAAATGCAGTGTACTTCAATAAATAACTTTATTAATGTTTAAGGGAGCCAAAGCTTGATAGTTTCCCCATTTAAGAAAAAAAAAACAGTGTAGTTATTCATCTGGAATGACAAAAAAAAGAAAGAAAAAGATTTGGCTTTGTTCCAAATCCAAGCCTTGCCCCATTTCTCATCCCTCGGTTTCCTTATCAGTCTAAATCTTTTAAATGTATCATTTTTCTGTGTTATAGCCGGGCCAAAGGCTCGTGGTTTCGTTGGAGTTGTGGACCCCGCAGACTCCAAAAAGGTTATTATTGACTCAGCGGCGTCAGAGACGCTGAAGAGCAGTCTCACCACCGTCTTCTTCCCCATCGTCTACATCATCGTCTTCGCCGTGGGGCTTCCGGCCAATGGGATGGCCATCTGGGTCTTCCTCTTCAGGACCAAGAAGAAGCACCCGTCCTCCATCTACATGGCCAACCTGGCCCTGGCCGACCTGCTCTTCGTGGTCTGGATGCCCCTGAAGATCGCCTACCACGTCAACGGCAACGACTGGGTCTACGGGGAGCCCCTGTGCAAGGTGCTGGTGGCCTTCTTCTACGGGAACATGTACTGCTCGGTCCTGTTCATCGCCGCCCTCAGCGTGCAGAGGTACTGGGTGGTGGCGCACCCCCTGACCAGGCAGAAGAGGAACAACAAAGTGGCCGTGGGCGTCTGCGCGGCCATATGGGCCTTCATCTGGCTCACCACCACTCCCCTGTACCTGTACGACCACACGGCCCGCATCGCCGACCCCAACGTGACCACCTGCCACGACGTGAACGTCGTCCTCGACATGGACGACCCCTTTCCCTCCGTCAAGTTCCCCTTCTACTACTTCATGCTGATGGGCACGCTGGTGTTCATCCTGCCCTGCCTGGTGATCGTGGTGGCCTACGTCATGCTGCTGAAGGCTCTGGGGAACCGGATGGCCGACAGCACGGCGTCCAAGAACCGGCAGAAGGCCGTGGTGCTGATCGCGGTGGTCCTGGTCACCTTCCTGGTGTGCTTCGTCCCCAGCAACATCATGCTGGTGGTGCACTACTCCCTGCTGAAGGAGGGCGTGAGGAACAACGGCTACGGCTTCTACCTGTCCACGCTGTGCCTCAGCAGCCTCAACAGCTGCCTGGACCCCTTCATCTACTACTTCGTGTCGGACGAGTTCAGGAACCACGTGAAGAACACCCTGCTGTGCAGGAGCAGCCGGACGGTGGAGAGGATGAGGGTCTCCTTCAGCTCCATGAAGTACTCGCAGAAGAGCAAGGCATTCGTGTCGCAGTCCGAGAACACGCAGAGCAGCACCTGTTAGGGACAAAAAGGATGGGCGGGGAGGACGGGGCCAAAGACTTTGGGACAGATCCAGCCTCCAGAGGCTGCGAGCCGATGAGCTCAAAGGCTCGGATTAACTCAAAAGTGTGAGGACGAGCCTTCTTTAGAGCGAGCAGACTACGGCCGGTGATGTGTCCGGCCTGAATTTGAGCAGCTGCTTTATGTTACAATGTGAAATATTTAGTTTTTTATAGACATATCTATGTGTGTCACAGCTACACAAAAGGCTCCTTTAACGACGGGCATTTATTGATGTTTTATTAACATGACGCGATCTTTCCTCTCGTAAGCAAATCTGTAGTCAAACCGCCACATTGCGATAAGAAATATGACGTAAGGAAAGCTCCATGGCTATGAAACGTCAAATTTTGTATTTATAAATGTGTATTTTTTTTGTCCATTTGGCACATTCCTGCATCCGTCAGGTTTTATATTTTCTTTTAGTGTTTATTTTAAGCTTTCTGGGCCAAACGTCAGCTTTTTTTTTTTTTTTAAATAGAAAAAAACAACAACTGTGTATTTTGGCAAACAAATGGTAGCGACAGGAAGCAGTTTCTGTGAAACCCTTTTGTCCTGCTGGGGTGAGTCACGGCGGGATTGTGACGAAGCCGCCGGAACCCGGCTCGTGCTCACGTGGATGGAAGAAAATGTTTGGAACTTCTGGAATGTGTGGTGTCGGAATTCAGTAATAAATGAACAGGATGAATTCTTCATGTTCGCTCAGGGGTTAATCTTTTTTTTTTTTCTCAAAGCAGAGACGTGTGGAGGGTAGGGTGGGGGGGGTAAAAGGAATGTTTGCGGGCGTGATGAGACGTGTTGTTTTTGTTATCTCGCTGAAAAACTCTGACCGGGAGTGTCTGTGTTCACCTCTAGTTCTTCATAGCCAGTCGTTTCAGCCTTTTGGGACACTAAACCCCTACATTTTCTTATTCAACACTTTATGGCCACTTTGTGGCCCAAAATGAATGGTCTATTGTCTGGACGTAAGGACTAATGGTTGACCACCACCCCCCCAAACGCACACAAACACACACTGAGAGCCGGTGAGTAACGACTGGCTGGAGGCAGTTTGGAGAGAGAGGAGACTGCAGCTGAGTTTCAGTTTACCTTTTGTCAGCGGGCTGAAGTCTTTTCTCATGCTGGTGGCTGGGCCAGCCACGCCCCAGAAGAGCTGCACAGACACAGCCTCTCTCTAACCGCATTCCTGTCAAAAGCAGCGACCGTTTATCTGATGACAGGAGAAGGTTTGAGTTTAAGTGCTATATTTTTTTTCCACTATCTGAAAATCTCCCTGTCAAACTATGGTTCCCATGGAACATTTATACATTTTGTTTCTTAAATATTAAACCTGTAATATATTTTAGGACATATTCCGCTTTCTCCAGACATCATTGTTTTGCTGCCCAAAGCAAAAAGAAAGAGATTTAATTTAAGCAGAGCCGCTCTATAATCAGAAGCAGCAGTAAAGTAGAAGAGGAACAAAACGTAGATTGGAAACGAGAACTGAAATGACATCAAAGACACAAAATGACTGGATTTTATTTAGGGCTGAACAAATGAGTGACTTGTGCAGAATATCTACAAACACATGCAAACAACAAGAGGCCAACAGTAGAGACAAAATGTATATAAAAATATGTTTAATCGGGGACTAAAACTACCCGGAAAATCACCCCAGAGGGATGCAAAAAGGATGCAAAACACACCTGCAAGTGATGCGGATGGAGGTGATGTCACTGTCGGCCTGCCTTTTTTGTCCATCAATGAAAGAGGAGGGCCGCTTTATGTCCCCTCAAACAACCCTGACATCATGGAGGCAACATCCGCTGGAAGCTGTGGCCTCGGTGACATTCAAGCTAAATACTTCCTGCTGATTAAACGTGTGCGTGCAGAGCAGGTGGTCCACCCTAACCCACAAACCCGGACGTCTCCATTATCCCAACAAAACACATTTTAAGAGAACACAAACTGTGAATCTTCCTCTCACAAAGAGCTGTATTTACCTTCATCTTCTTCTCCAATCGTCCCCTAACTCTTTCAACTCATCTTGTTTCTCTCTTTGCTCAAATTTGATTTAACCCAATTGAAGATCTGCTCTCTTTCCGAGCTACTTTTAAAGCACATTGCCAGGGGGTGCATTGTTTTCTTATTCTTGTTTTTTTTAAATCAGTTCTCTTACAAGCGGAAAAGAAAAAGCTAAACTTGAAGTGAAAATACCTGAGACGGATCTACACTTTGACACACGTAGATTCCATTTAACTGTTAGGCAGACCTTTCTGCTCCTGCTGTTATGACTTTTTAGGCCTTCTGAATGCAGCTCGTTTGTGGACGTGACATGTTGTTGTCACAACTTCTATGTTGAGCAAAGACACGTTAAACCAGTTTAACTGAAAGTGTCCTTTTGGGGCCGACTGCCGACAGTAAACAGAGCCGGTGGGCGTGTCAACGATCATTGCTACATTTTTTGTCATTCGCTGTCATTCTGCTTGATGAAATAACCTGGAAAAGTGTAGGAACAAGATGTGCCTGGTTCTCTCCAGAAAACAAACAAACTAATGCTTCCTCCATGTTTGAGGTTTCTGCTCCTCTTGTGGTTGCAGGAAGAGGGACATCTGCTGGCCGGTGTGTTCAAAGTCTGTGTCAAATATGCTTTTAAATACCATAAAATTCAAGCTGAAAGCAAGCACCAGATTGAACGTTTTATTCTCAATGACAAAACGAAATACAGCCGTAAGATCTGGGGCAGAAAATCAATTATTTGAAAAACAATTGACAGAACAGTTCCAGCTTCTGTGTGCAAATTCTCATCGAGAAAACACTCTCTCCTGTTTTAAGAGAAGTAGTATTTACACTGAAAAAATATTCTCTTTTGAGGAGCTGAATGAAGAGACGCGGTGTCTGAAAGGCAGAGTGATTGATTAGTATTGCGCCCACGCTGGGATGGATTCTGGGATGGAGGGAAAAGGCCGCCGTTCATGCATGCGAATGAGAGGGCGAGCGCTGAGGGGGGGAGAGAGGGAGAGCGTCCGTGCTAATGGCTGCGTAATCGGACGGATCACGCCACCCCACCGTCAGCAGATCTTCACCCGGAGCCGCCCGGTGGAAGCAGATCTCCGAGCATTGATCCGAGCAAAAGTTTTAGTCTTCAAAAGAAGCAGCAGCGCCTCAGTGGCAGAAACTCCACGAGCAACACGAGCATTCACAGCTCCCACGTTACATAACGTCCTGACAGCTCACCAGACGGCCAAGAAGTCTGGGAGGAAAGGGCCAGAGCCCGGTAGGTTAGTACGTACAGGGAAATCTGTCTGTGAGAGAGCTGAGCGAGGAGAAAAAAAAAAAAAAAAACCAAAAACCAACAAGCGCATTGGAATGTGAGGAAGTACAAAAGATGCAGTTGGAGTAAATGAGGGGGCAGAGTCACAGAGGGACCCATTCAGGCGCTTTGGTCCTTTCTCCCTTTCGTCTCGTCGGGCTCCCCCGCGGCGGCCTGGCCGGAGGGGCTTGGCACGGTGTGCGTCCCCCCCAGCCAGTCCCAGTGCGCGAAGAACGGGGCGTAGTTGGTGGCGGGCCTCTGGTGGTGCGCGTCGTGCTTGGGCGCGCCCCCCCACAGGCCGAAGGGCACCAGGTTGTGCGTGGACCAGGGGAAGTCGTAGCCGCAGTGGTCCTCGGTGGACACGTAGACGTTGAAGACCATGAAGGCCCAGGTGGTGAGGCAGTGGCACTGCAGCAGGATGGGGTCGGCCGTGGCCCAGAAGCCCACGCTGAACAGCTCCCAGCCCGACAGGTACTGGGTGACCAGGCTGAAGGGCTGGCTGTACTGGTGGTGGACGGCGTGGAAGGTCCGGTACAGCCAGGGCACGCGGTGGTGCAGCAGGTGCCACAGGTAGTACTGGAAGTCGAAGACCACCAGGCAGCCCCCGACGCCCAGGAAGAAGCTCCAGAGGGTGGGCGCCTCGCGGGGCAGCGGGGTGGGCGGGCGCCACAGCCACTGGGCCACCGCCGCCGGGAAGATGAAGAACAGGTGGTTGTAGACGGTGACGGCCAGCGTGGTCCAGACGCTGGGCCAGGCGACCGGCCGGTCAGGGTGCAGCCGGTAGCGGTTGAGGCGCGGCCAGGCGGGGGCCAGCAGGTCCAGCGCCGTGTAGAGGCCCACCAGCATGAAGTAGGTGGCCACCGACAGGACCACGGGGAAGAGCGGGCTCCTCAGGAGCCCGTGGTGGTTCTGGCGCAGGTAGTCCCAGACGGGCTGCAGGACCAGGTCCGGAGACTGGCTCCCGGTCACGTTGTCCACATCCGACATCAAGGACAAAGCCGCCGTTGTGAGTAGCCGGCCTGTGCTCATCACCGATGCGCCGCTTCTCTTTCCAAAGAGCGCCGATCCAAGAGGGGTTTATTATCTAACCGGCCACAGGAGAGGAGAAAAGAGGCTCTGAGAGAATGGGCAGATCCAATCGGCCGTCTCGTATAGGTTAAGCAACAGCAAATTGTCTGGTGACGCCGTGCCAAATTGGACTGGTGGACAGTCTTTGCCTCTTATGTATGTTCAAGCCCCACCTCCACCCCCTACCATCCCCAACCCCCCCTTCCACCCTCTGCATTTTAAAAGAAGGCACTCTGTAAAGGCCCTTTTTCATGGCCACAAGGCCCGCAGCCAGGACTCAGGAGCCGGGCCACAACAGCCCTCATTTTTGACCCAAATCGTGGAGAGAGAGCTTCCGTTCGATCCCTCGTGAATTTGACCGGTTCACAAAAATCCAACAGCCCCCCCCCGTCTGTGAGCCGTGGCCATTAAAACAGAGAGAAAAAAAACATCAGACGACAGTTTTAGGCCTGCGTGTCCATCATTAACCCCCTTTTTTTGTCTCTCACACCCTCCGATCAGCGCACACATGCAGCGCACACATGCACATACGCCGACCACATGAGCCCAAAAAAGAGTCATTAATCATGGGAAAGTTTTTCAAATGACACATGCATTGAAAAGAACCGGAGGGAACTGGAGCTGAGACCAACCGCAGCTCTTGTTTCTATGGTGTGATGCCATAATTCTGCAGAGAATGGACATTCTGATCAATATAATGGCATCCTGTGTCATACTCCACTGGTGTGCCGTTTCTATGCTGCCAGTGACTGGTGATGCTTTTTACAGTTTACTTTAAGCTGCATCAAACACAAACAGGGATTCATAAAAAAATGCAGAATGCATTAGCTCCTTTTTTTTTTTTGTTATTAATAATGGATCTCTGCACGATGCAAAAAAAAAAAAAAAAAAAAAAAAATTGTTTTTAACACATTTAACACACCCTTATCTTTCTTTGTTCCCTGACGTTATACCTATTTTGTGATGAAAGACAACTTTTGGGGGGTTTGTTAAAAACCTTTTAAAGTCCATCACTGCAGAATATAAAGAGGTTTTTTTTTTGTTGGAAACACGGTAATAATGTGTTTTCATGGCTTTGCATGAGAAACTACAGCCATCAATGCAATGACAGAGGACTTCTGCTTTCAATCTGCAGGGCACCACTGTGTCTCAGAAAAGTTAAGTTTAAAGGGAAGTGGGCGAAGTAGCTTTGTCACAGGCTGCTCATGCATATTTGTCCGACCTCTGTTTTTTTTGTTATCTGAACAACTCGTGCAAAGTTCACCGCAAAGAGCAATTCACTGTCTTAGATCAGCCAGCAGAGGGCGACAAAATGCAACTTTTCTACAGAGAAAACGACACCAAATCCCGGTAAGTGGGGAGTGCTTTTCTCTTTATCACATCCATCAACAGTTCAACACAACAGTGCAGTTATTATCCAATATGTTTTGCATTTTTCAGCTTTCTTAAAGTCAGTTCTGCAGCAGATTACCTCCAAATATCAGCAAATCAAAGAATAGACTAGTCTCCATTTAAATACCATTTAGTCCAAAGCACTTTGGGTACATTGAACATATGAACTGTACACTGTACACTGTTTTTAGGAAAAATTCTGACTCCACAGAGCCGTTGCCACATTTAGGTGGAGAAAAAAGTCTTCCCTGTGTGTTTCTCTTGCATGTGCCATCCAGCTTTTTCCCACAACGCCTCTGTTTTCAATCAGTGCTCAACAGAATCAGGCCGTGCAGTAAATTTGATCTAATTGAAGGTCCCTGTGCAGAAGTACAGAGCCAGTCAGGAGTTGAGACAAACTTCTGATAAGAGTCTGAATGAGTGGCTGTGCATTTACATCCCCGGCGTTCTAATGGGGCTCTAATTAAGAGACGGTGGGTTTTTAAACAGTCTGAAACAGCTCAGAAATCTCACGCAGATGCTCTTCGTCTTCTCAGAGCACAGAGGCGTGGGCCGGCGCTCTCCCACGTGCACTCTCCCACATGCACTCTCCCACGTGCACTCTCCCAGCCCGAGTGTCTGTCACTGCAGCAACAAGTGAGGGTGTTTCATTTGGTCTTTGTGAGCAGCTCTCAGACTCAGTGATCTCTGCTTTTCACTTCATGCAGCACCACTCGTGTCACTGACCACTGGGGTCACTTCACCGGCGGGGGGAGACATCTGGGGGACCGGCCAGTGCTGATGTGACCTGACGGCAGAGGGTCGTGGCGTCTGACCCGTTAGATCCGAAAGCACCGGCTCATCTTAAACAGCCTTAAACACCTTGTCAAGACAATCAGGTGGACGAGTTTTGAACAAGACAATTTCTGATCAGTATCACTGTCAGAGGTGATTAAGTCAGTGTTACATCCCAAGGGGGGGACTCTGCAGAGCCTTGTTTTCTATGTTTGGTGAGGTCAATACCTGCTTTTCTGTATTGGGTCAAATTCTATTTTTTTATTGTTCCTTTGGCTTTGTGCTCTCCCCAAACACCTGCATTCAATCAGCCAGTTAGCAAACTCCTCCTTAAACGTATTCTGGTTTGTTGCCTCAGTGCCAGATCCTTGCTGATGTTACGTCAGCTTGTTCAGCTCAATTTGTTAAGTCAAATATGTCACTCTTTTTCAAAGTTTTGTGTTTCGCATGCATCCGAGTCCTATTCTCCACGAAAATCCCTTACAAAATGGAAGCATCACTTAGATAATGACTGTGAATGCAGGAGGTATGCTACAAAACCAAGTAAAAGCAGAAATTGAAAGCATCCTCCTTTGGAAGGGGAAGTATGCTGCAACAAAGGATTGTGACTAATCACAATACAGGATTAAAGGCACAGAGCCTTTAAATTGTCTCTAAAAGGCAAATAACTTAAACGTAGACACATGTGTCTTCGTATGTTTTCCTTAAAGTGTATTCAACATCTTATTTAGCTAATTATTTAACAATTGATTTTGCAGCGGTTTGTGTATTTAAAAAAAAAATCTTCCCTAAAATTATATGTTGAGATCTATCTAGTGTGAATTTTGCTGTGAATGATAAATAACAAATAATGGTACTTCACATCCAAATGTAATTTTCTATCAAAAACCAATGAAGAAATATTTCTTTTAAATTTTCAAGACACTGAATCATGCTTTGAGTGGCTGAATATTAAGTAAAATATCTGCAGCATGTGATGAAACCTGATTTGTTGATTCTGCTGTGCGTTTGCTGTTTGAGCTGGCCGGTCAGATCCTAAACAACATCGACTATCTGCAGCTGGGAAAGGAAACACTTTCGTCACCTCAACAAATGGGAATCTTATTTTTTTCCGCAGCAGTGGAAAGAAGTCGTCGGTGCACCTGACAGCCAGCGTCCCTCAGGTGTTGTCTGTGGGGGTTGAGGGCTGAACAGAGCTGCTCTCCACCGTCGGCCATGACACGGTGCCAGAGGAGGGCCTATCGGGTTTGAGAGGGACCGTCAGACATAAAACGACAGAGGAGGAAAGCTGCAGTCGCTAAAAATAAACCCAACAAAGAGAGCATGACAATTCTAAATCACAAGGTGAAACTGAGGAGAATGGAGACGAGGAGCAGGAAAAAACTATCATAAGTTATGATTCTTCCCAAGAGTCAGCGTCAGAGAGCAAAGTGGTGAATTTACAAGGAAAAGGTTGGAACTTTAAAGGGAACATATAACAATACACAGTTAAATACATAAGATAGAGCAAAAGGGGAGACCAAAAATAAAAAAATGTTGATTGCATGACTGTCAAAAGGACCCATATGAGCAAAAGAAACAAACATTTTTTCTTCTTGGGGGGTTCTATGATAAAGAAAGTGTTTCTCTATATTAGCTTGATAGAAATAAAAGTTGAGCTCCATTATTAGGGGCGATTATTAAAGAGAAATACTGATAAAGGTTAATTCTGATGTATATCTGTAGCTCCTTTTTTGTGTTCTCTTCATCAAATATTCACTAGGATTTCTAAGAGAATACAGTAACACACAAATTCATAATTCCTATCTTTATTTAACTATTTAATATTGCATGCACATCATTTCTGGCCGAGCCTCAAATATTCAAGGTGTTTTTCTGCAGCTGAAATCAAACAAGCGTTTGTCCCTCTTTAAAGCTAAATATAAAGAGGTGAGGAGGTGTGAAATGGTGAGTGATTTCTCAGGTTGAAGCTGATGAGACGGAGGCTTCCTCCATCCATCAGTCCAGCAGCGACGGGACGGGCGTCGTCTGGAGGTTCTCCTCTGTAGGTGTGAGTGTGTCCAGAGAAACAAACAGAATGGTGACTTGCTCCTTAATACGGGGCTTCTGCAAATATAAAATGGTAACGTCTCAATTCTAAAAAGCAGATGATGGAGTTTTCAGTTTGTTCCATTCCTTTGAAGCTAATGCATATTTACATAAAAGGCTTCTATATTGATAGTTTCTGTGTGTAGGACCAACCCAGTTAAATTCATTTGTCCCTTTTGAGGAAAGGCTTTTGTCGTCTTTGGATCTAAACAGTTTGTTCTTGGTGGGGACACACAATTCCTATTACTTTGATGTGATTCAATGTGAAATAAACAGTAGAAAGAATATTTCAGACTGCTTTCCTGCCCTAAATGTTAAATGCCGAATCCTTTATTCATTGGGATGTTGTAGTTCATAAAAATTCTTAAATAAATGCAGCGATAAAAAAATTAAATAATAAAACTTCTATAAATGAATAATATTTCTACATGAATCTCATCGACCCAGGTTTTTCTGCCCCTGTTCTCCTGCTCCAGGACACAGCAAGTTGTTAAAAATGGACATAAATTGGGTTTGACCACATTAAGAAAAGACTTTATTCACCATTTTATGCTTGCTCTTGTTATACCTTTTGTTCAACTGGTGAATGAAAATACCTCACAGCTGCCAGAGCATGAGAAAAATCCCATATTGTTACAGTAAATTGAAATTTCTTTATTATGTCTAGTTAATTTTATAGATATATCAACTTGTTTAGACATTAAAAGATGACATGTAAGGTAAAACTGTGCGGTTTGGCTGTGCAGTGAGGCATGGAGGGCAGTTATAGAAGCTCTTCCTCTGATCTGATCACGTCCGGGCAGGCAGACAGGTCTCAGCCCGTCGTGGATGAACTGTTGCCCTTACTGAGATACTTCGGGGAGGTACGGAGTGATGCAGACACCTGTGTGAGCTTCCTGGCTCAGACCGTGATGAAAGCCCACGAGGTTCTCCGGGGGGGACGCATCCGTACACGCTTTGTTTTTCACTTAAGTACGCTGATTAAAATCTGGAAAGGAAGACGGTTACCATGGGCCTGTCACCTGTGGAATTAATTATCTGCACAAAGGGTAGAGGACGGCCCTCTTGGTTCTTTGCCATTTCCTAACAAACAAGCCGTGCCGGAGCATCTCCCACTACATTTGCTCAGGACTCTAACCAGGTGAGCTCACTCTCTCTCCGTGTCAAAGTGCTCTTAGTTAAGCAGAAGTTTTTTTCCTCTGCTTTTTTTATTTATTTATTTATTAGGAAACTGCACGAGTTGCCACATCCTTCCAGCAGAATGCCGAGCCAGCTCGAGGGTGCCATGGGCGCGCTGATATCGGTTTTCTACAACTACTCCGGGAACGATGGAGATAAGCACAAGCTCAACAAAGGCGAGCTGAAGGAGCTCCTGAACAGCGAGCTCACCGACTTCCTGACGGTAAAGAAACACACTGAAACATTTACACCTCATCTTCTGGTTATTCCCTCATAAAGTGGAATTTATTTGTATTAGCATCTGAGGAAACTTCCTCCTCTTTGTGGGTTTTTGTGTGCCTCATTTCCTCACTTGTCCCCGATGACTACTTCTAAGTGGAGTCATTTGATTGGGGATCTTCACCACTTTGGGGGATGCATCTCCGTCGCCTTATGGCTGAAAGGTCAAGTTAGATCCCGCTGTTTTCAGATGATTTAGCATTTCGACCTTGTGAGAGGAAATTGATTTTTCACTGATTGCAATCCAGCTGACAGAGTTACGGCTGATGGCCTCTCGCATCGGGATAAAAAGGAAATGGAGAGGGAGATAAATAAGGTGGTTTTAGATAAGTCCGGGTCCTGAGTCTGTGTGATAGCGGAGTGGACAGCTTTCCATTTCAAATGATTGAGACCAAAAGCGACTGGGATATAAAACCTGGGAAGCCTCAGGTGCTCTCAACATCATCACCGCCATCAGTGGCCCGTTTCAGGTCCAAATATAGACGTCCCCCGTGATGTCATCACGTCCCCTGGAGCAAGGCACCTCTGAGAATAGATTCAGCTCCAGCGAGACAATCACCATCAGCTTCTGCCACAGATAACTCTGACACACGAGGGCTCTGATAGGTTTAAACATCTCATTTGATTATCTATTCAGGGAAGTGCAGGCGGATGCGCACAGATGCAAATATGCATGAGATAAAAATCACGCTTTACATCTGTAGTCACAAGGCGATAATGCTCAAAAAATAAATAATACAAAACACAATTGACCAGATGGAGTTATGATAAGATTACAATCTATTGTGAAAATATACAGGGATAAAAAGTTTTATGTTCCCCCGGTAAATTTGGGGGTTTAACTTTATAGGTTGAGAAGGTGAAAACTATCACAGATGACCCCGACTGTTTGGATGATTATGAGGATTTGCTTGATTGATTTATCAATTTCAAGTCCACATGGCATGTAGCAAGCTTATTTCTCATTATTTCCTCAAAGCTCTTTGGACAAAATGTTTGGAAAATGCTGTTTTTTGTTTGTCATTTTGTAATGTATCTTTCAGACAGAAGTAAAATGGTCTTCTGTGTTGTTCTCAGAAACAAAAAGCAAAGCAATGTTGTGTTGGAGGGAAAAAGAAAAACAGCTAAACAGCCAAAATGTTCAAATTCGTTTTCAATTTAAGGCAGTTACGATATGATTTTTAACACAAAAAAATAGTTCTAAAATAGATGACAAGGGAGTTTATTGTTTATGTTTATGTTATTATTATGTTATATTATATTATTATTGAAAGACTCGTTCCTCAGATGGGTTAGTTGGAGTTTTTTCTCATGTATAAACTACGGCATTGTCTGCAAACATTTGGACATTTACAATAGGTGAGTCTTTGAAAATGATGAAATACATTAGCTGTGGAATAGAGCCTTGTGGGACCCCCAAAAGGCAGTCGAAGTAAAAAGATTTGACTCTTTACATGTTAACACAGTGCCCTCCATTTACTGTCCACTTTCATCCTAATTCTAGATTCAAATGTGCCCCAAAATTGATGTGTCATATTTTTCATTATATGCCAGTAACTTCCTTCCAACATTTTTTATTCAATTTTGAAGTTTTCAGCTCGTCAAACAGGGATCTGAGGGGTTAAAAGTATTGCTGATTGTTAAAAGTCAAGGCTAAACAGATCATACAACATATTTCATATCTGTCTTTTTTTCTGTTTGTGCGTTCGCAGTCCCAGAAAGACCCGATGCTGGTGGAGAAAATCATGAATGACCTGGACTCGAACAAAGACAACGAGGTGGATTTCAATGAGTTTGTCGTGCTGGTGGCCGCCCTGACCGTCGCCTGCAACGACTTCTTCCAGGGCCAGAGTATAAAAGCCAAGTAGCCGCAGAATATCCGACCCAAACTGAATGGAAAAGTCCAACTTTAGTTCTGTGTTGCCAGTTGAATATTTATTGTGGTTTCACAATAGTTTCCTGAGCTGTGAATAAGTATAACTATACATCTAAAGATTCAGTTCTTTTTCCCCCCTGTTTCATCTGCTAAAGTGAACATGAAGGCCGCTTCTGTAGATTTATTCTTTGGTATTTCCCTTTAAAACAAATAAATCTCTATCAGATAAAATCCTGTCTGTAAATGTTGTGTAGCTCATGCCCCAAAAGTCGTACGAGCTCAGACTCTAATTCTCGCTAGTTTCTAAATGTCTGATGTTTAATGTGTATTATTTCCCTGACTGCAGCAATCAGGAAACATTTTTTTCCCCTGTGAATTTAAATCTTCCTCTAGAAGGAAAACTTTCCCCCCGTATCCTGTTGTGAAGTCATATAAAAATTAAGCTGTGCTGACATGTTAATAGTTCATCGTGTGTTTCAGTAAGGATGGATTATCCTCTGTTTCCGCTCCATGTGTTTGATTTTCCTCCTTTTCTGGCATTTTTGGAAATTGTTTTTTAATAGGAAGCAAAGTTTGGATCTATTTGACTTTAAAACTGTTACTGAACAAAAGTAAATGTCTTAAATGAATAAATGTATTTAATCTGGACTATGAATCTCCATTTTATTGACCACTTCATTTAACTAGACTTAAATCTACATTCTTTATTTGAATAATATTTCTATTGAACCTAATTTCAATTTTATTTTCTTTATTCTATCTAATACTTATATCTTTTTTGTAATGGTTTCTCTGTGGACTTCTTGTTTTCTGTTAATTTTTCTTGTATTTTTAGTCACATGTTTAGTATTGTTTAGTACCTGCTTTAGTATTATTCTGCTTTAATCTCTCTGGTAGTTTCCTCACTCTTTATTTTTAGGTCATTTTCTTTCATTCAGATACCTTCTGCTTATCTAGTAAGATCCTCTTTAGTTACAATTGGTTACTTGTCTCAGTGGTGTCTTGTGTCCAAGTTAAAACTGCAGCATCTTTAAAAAAGAGCCCCACTTGATTGACCCTGAAATTGCAAACACACTGAATGAAAAGTGAAAAGTTTAAAGGATTTTCCTCTCAAGGTGATGGAGGTCTTCTTCTGGGGAAACGATGTCCGGATATCCCAGCCTTGGTGAGCCACCTGGGTCCGGCTGCTTTGAGGCCTTAGCACAGCCTCTAAAACACTCGGCTCACCGACAGAAATGGCTGAAACCGTGCGGGTTGTCGTGTGCACGTCCATTTCCTAGCATACCGAAGGAGGTGTAAACCAGATCAGAGCGCTGACGTTCTCCCTGCCGTGACGTAAATAACTAAAACTAAATAAGATGGCACGTGGGATTCTTTATGCGTGCAGATGGTGCCTGCGCAAACCCTCGGTTACAATGCAATTTGTCTGTGATTGGCTGCAATCGAGCGGGATAATCACCCGTGGGAAGATGCCATGAAGTAATTATGTTTTTGTTGCATTTATAAAAGGTTGCAATCAATCCCGAGAGCCATTTGATCATTCTGAAATGTGGATATTTATATTCCGACGCTCATGATTTCCCTCCTGTCACTCACTCTCCTCTTAATGTTCAGGCAATTATGTCTTCTCTTCCCCGTCATGCGCGCGAACAGGCTTTCCAGCGAGCAAAAACTTTTTCCTCAAGATGGTGAAATCTGAGTCATGACCAGCTCATCGCTTCCTCTGTGAGCATAATCGTCCTGTGAGTGTGGGGAGAAAATTACCCAAATTATGCCGCACAATCATGGAACAGTTGAAACAAAAAAAAAAAAAAGGAACATTTTTGCACCTGAGGAGCTCACGAAAGCGTTTAAGTTTCCAAATCAGAGAGGCAGAGATGTCTGGATGTTGAAATGAATATTTAATTAATGTTTTTCAAGACAAGACGAATTGAATCCATCAGAAGAAAATATGAACAGAGAAAGTTGAGGATAAGAAATCTCACTGAAACACAGATAAGAACTCTGGTAGAAGTTGATCACAACCAGCAGGAACAAGAGGGCCGAGATAAACCAGGAGATTGTGACATCTGCTCTTTGTTTTGCCTCGAAGTCAAACAGAAACCGGCTCCGATCGATCTTCATTACCAGGTATTTTTGGGGTTTGTCTGTTTCTCCCTCGGATTCTATCGGCACGTCCGGGTGAAACCGTATTAGAAGATTTGTTTCTCTGCGTTTTGTTTACTCCTGCTTGGTGCTCATTTAGGTTTTTTCCTGTTCCCACTTCCTGTGACATTATCTCCTGCTCGCCTGGAGAAAGGCCTCAAATCCAGACAGGCTGAAGAGGACGCAGAGCAGAGGAGAAATGAGAAGGAGGTGAATGGGGGTTAAACCATTTTCCTTTCCCTGATTGATGGGGGAGACAAAGGATCACTGGAGAATGAAGTGGACAAGCTCCCCATCAATGAGGGCATAATAGGAATAACAGGAAGGCAAAATAATTATTTTCCTCATATGTGGAACTGTGTATTTTCCACCATAATGAACTCCTGCATCTTGGTTTCCATTTGGGGGTTAACAAATTAGACTTTAACTGAAACAGAGTTGAACTGAATGAGGAACAATATGATGAAAGAGGAATGTGGAATTTAATGATGGGCTGATTATTGGAGAACTGATTTGAAATGGAAATTGAAAGGAAGCTCAAAAAATTAGACAGGAGTTGTTCAGTCTATGTTTATTTCTCATCTAATATTAGCCGTCAGTTGTCTAACTATAACCCCAGAGTACTGATATTTGGAGTGTTCACAATAGAAAATTATGATTTTTTGCATTTTCCTTTTAATCTGGTGTTGCTGTTCAATAGCTGAAGTAATTTTTTATTGTCTTGAATACATTTGTTGGTTCATTTAAAATTTAAAGTCTTTCAATCCTGTGCATCACACCATCGTTGCATGCGCAGGAATGTTTGAGCCACACAAAAATCAGGATTTCTATAGGTGCTTTGGTCCGTTTAGAGGTTGCCAGAACAGCTTCTCTTCCCTTTCGTGTGTCACTCCTCCAAATGTTGCTGCCACCTGTGACGAATGTCTTTCGAATACGCCTGAAGCCCTTATCTCCCCCATGCTGTCCGTACCCCCGTTTCGTCATGTTGTGCGTCACTGTTTGTTTCATAACTCCTCATCAGGAGTGACCTGTGTGTTTCTGTGTGTGTGTGTGTGTGTGTACCTGTAACAGTTTTGTTTTCCTCATACATTTGCATACTTAATCAGTTGGAGACGAAGAAAGTGGAGCTAAATAAGATGCCATCCTTGTGGAATAAAACATGACAGTCACACGGAGACTAATAAAAGGCTAATAAAGAAAATTTGAGGTGTGTTTATTGCCTCTGTGTCTCCTTCCACTCTGACCTGGTCCCCATACTGTATTCTGTTTTTGCTAATAAGATATTTTATATATCATGTCTTATTTGTGCCATTAAAAAGTGGGGGGAAAATACCAAATACCGTCTAGCAATATGGAAGCAATGAAAGATGAGGAGGAAATGTTGTCTTGTGTCATTCATATGGACTTTGCGTGTGTGTGTGTGTGTGTGTGTGTGTGGCTGGCATCTAACTGGGGCTAATTTAAATTTATGACAAGCTGAGCTTCATGTGTTGGTGTCCTGGCATTTTTTAAAATGAGTACCGCAGGATGTGAGTCCCCGCTGAACACCGGGACACCACTAAAGTTAATTTACCTGCGGGGTTATTTGTAGAGTAAACATCAAAATAGCATAAAAGTATTCATTGAAAGTATTTTTTTACTGTATGAAAGCTTATATAAAGGACATTGGGATGTTAAATTAAAGATCTATGCATGATTTTAAACATGTGATGTAGTCAGCTAAAAAATTAATGAATAGATAAATGTGAAAGCAAAGACAGCGTGCAGTTATGATTCACATTGAATACGATGAGGAGTCGTACTGAGGAAAAAGCTTTGAGTTTGAAATAAAAGGGCACGGCTCTGACTCTGACTCTGACTCAAAATAGCTTGAATGCAGCCAGAGGCGTTGGATTTGTTGGGAGGGCAGAGATAATAGCGTCCAGGACCTCACCGGTGAGCCTCACAGAGATAATTATAAAGAGGGCATCTCCACTGAGTGCTGGCAGGATTCGGGTTTAAATATCACCAAAAATAAGCAGCGCACGGTGAAGTTGGGTTCTTTGATAATATCCCAGAAAATTGCAAAGGACATTAAGTAGAAATTTTCGCAAATACTCGCAAAGAAAAATAAAGTAGTATACTTTAAATTGACATTTTCCCTCACTAATAATTCTATTTGGAGACTGTATTTAAATGAAAATATGCATCCACAATTAACCAGAGCCATTAAATATTTCGTCTCTTTTTGTTTTTTAATTTAAATTTTGCCCAGTCGTCCAATGTTTTTGTAATTAAGGTAGTTTGTTGTTAAATGAGAACATACAGCATTAATAAGGAATGTTTCTGATTCCTTTCTGTCATACAAAGTTATAATAAACTGTTCATTAACTTGAGAAGTTGTTCAAATATTGACGCATCCCAATATTCTTGTTTCTTACCTTGGAAAATGGCTCATGGTACTGACTGATAATTTACAGACCTTAAGAATTTTTAATAAAGAAAATCACCTGCAACCAGTAAATGAATAACAACAATCACAGGTCTTGTATGAAATGTCTGCATCAGGGAGCGGATCCACTCCAGGCTCGTTTATTAATCACATCACTGGGCACAGAGGGATTTATTAGGAAACACAGATAGGAACAGCAAGAGAGCACACATTTGGGGAAACTGACAGAAATGTAACGAGGAGTCATAAAATCAAAGACTACATAGAAAGCAATGAAAATGTCCATCAGAAAACAGACAACAATGTAAATCTGGACTTTTTGGATTGTTGTTTTTAGCTAAGAATCACTCTCTTATCATCAAATTCTGCTCATACTTTCCATTTAATTATCAAAGAGCCTGACCATACTGAGAGCATTTGGAGGACACAAAAGATGCTAATCTGATTTATGTTAACTGTGTTCATCCATTAATTCCCTTTCCTCTTTTAGGACAGCCGTAAAACTCTGGATCTTTACTGTCCTCTGAAATGCTGCTCAAACCAAACTGGTGAAAGAACACCAAAGGTGCCTGCTTATGTAAGAAACTCCATTTGCTGTGTGTGACAGCAGGTGTCTATCAATGATAACACACCTGCAGGCCTTTAATCACAGGCCGCCTCAGCGAGTGGGGCCATTCCAGTCGTTATTTTACGAGATATCACCTGCCGTTTTCTCAGTAATGGCAGCAAACAGGTGATATATAGCGAGAAAAGTCGTGAGGGGTGGTTGCGTCATTCGACATGCGAAGGGATAATAAAAAATGTCCATCCCTGAGAACCTGAATGGCTTTTGGACGCTTGCCAAAGCAGCAGGCTGATGTTCATTCCTCTACACCGGGAGGCTGAAAAATAACTATCGTGGAAGCTGTCACAGTTTTTATACAGACTCTCAGGATCTAAGGATTTAAACTCAGGCCGGGAAGATTCTCTTTTAGTGTTATGAACACGGTATATGGCCATCATGTCATCATCATGTCTGAAACCTGCTCCTCAGGGGAAAAGGAACCATGGAAAGTTTAAAATTAGATTAACCTGCTGAGCTTTGTTTGAGTAACAGTGATCACCTCGTCTGAAGCTTTGGGAACAATGACAATTATACAAAGCAAATAGAGCCTGAGGAGTAACAGCTTCATGGGGCGGGCATCTGCAATTTAAACACTGAAAGGTCTTGAAACCATCAGGGAAAAACTGACACACATGGAATAACACAAAATAGCTTGTGCTGTTTTAATTAAGTGCTAATAAGAATTGTATTTGAACAAATTGTCATAAAAATCTCTGTAAAGGTGTTTATACTGTATTTTTGGCTTCATCATTTCTTCCAGTTTGAGATATTTGAGTCAAACTAGGGGGAATTCTTTCTCAGTATTTCAGAGATGTTGCGTTCAACACACTGGAGATTTTTTATAGTCAAATGGAAAAAAGAACCAAATGGTTTGCGCTTGATGTTTTTTTCGTTTCCAATATGTTTTTTTTCTGTTTTTATTCTTTTGCAATATAACACAACACCCAAAGTTCCTTCAAGGTACTAAAAAAAAACCCGGAGACCACAAATGTAAATACTTTTATCATAGTTACCATTTATATTTTCATATAAATGGTGACCATGTGCTAAGATTTAGAGCTGCAGAGTACGGTGTCCTGGAGGGTTCATGCATGTGTGTTCTGCTGTGTTTTGTGAACAGTTTTGTTTCTTACCGCGTTAATGCTTTAATGCTAAAGGGGGGAGGTTGGACCAGACGTTTAAGGTTTATAAAATCAGTAATGCAGATACTGATGTGACCTGACTGGCTAGTGCCTCAGCTGGGGCCTGGAAAGTGGATGCATTTTCAACTTTCCACTCAGAGTTGTAAGATGTAAAGACTGTTGACACCTGAAATGCGGGTTTCACATTTAAACTGGAGTCATGTTCATGGCACAGCTTTAAAAAAAAAAGAAAGAAATCCATGTGTGAATGCTTTGCCATGCAGTAAAGTTTTATTACAAAAACAACTTTTTGATCCAATTTTACTGCATAATGGCAACGAGAACGGATTTTTGTCTCATTTATCTCCTCCTATGTGGCAGGAAATGACTCACAAACAGAAAGAAACATTCGTTTTAGCACCATTCCTCCTCAAAACTGGTGATCACAAACCCTGAAATAACTTAAAAATCAGCATCATCTCAGTAAATGCAGATACCGTAGACAAAAGATAAATAAAAAAGAAAATACAACGACCATGAAAGGACACTTAACTCAGATCAACTTAACAATAACGAGCCATAAAAGATGAGAGAGCGAGGAATAGCAACCAAACCAAAATGGCTGAAACCGTGTCTAGGTGACAGGATAGGATATTCTTCTGTACACTTCCTCATCGGTGTCTTTGGATTTCAGACCGACCGGGTGTTTCAGTTGCCTTCAGTAAAGAAAAGTCTGCAGTCTAAATGACACGTCTGTCACACTCTGCTCCCGTCAGACTCGGTTGTTGAAGCAGAAATCCTCCACGTTGTTGAGTTTGATCATCTGTAACTCCTGGCTGTTTAGTAGCCTGTAACTGAAAGACACCCGGCTGACGAACTTCCCGCTGGACACCATCCGGACCACCGTGTTTTCACAGCCAATCTTCATGTGGGCTGGAAGGGGGGAGGAGGAAGAAGAAATGGGTTTTAAATGCACTCGAAAAGAAGACGCGTTCTATGTGGAGTGATTCTTACTGGGTCCGGTGAAGGAGATGCAGAGGTCCGTGATGGGAAACAGCTTGGACGTATCAATGCCGTTTCCCCCCAGAAGCTGGACATAATCCCCAGTCTCTGGGCACCCAGACAACGATCTCTGTGGAATAGGAGCAGGTAAACTGTTGGAAGCATGATCTGAGAGCAAACCGTAGAGCTTTAAACCTGTAAAACTGGATCTGGGAGTCATAGATCCATATGTTCAATGGCTTAACGTTGGTGTTATTATTCAGGTCTTTCTGGATTATTATGAATAGGTTACCGCTGCCTCATGCATGTTTGCCTCTTTCTCTTAAATTAAATCTGTCCAATCTCTACACAGCAAGTGCAATCTGGATCCCCTTAGTTATGACACAAAACTGACCACAGATCGGTTGCTTTAGAAAACAGCTATTTCTCTCATTTTCACAAGTGTTTTCCTCACTAAAATTCACCCCTTCGTGCCACCAAATGGCTTCATATGTAACACTCCTCTGCACAATATGAGGTGATATGCTCGGCCGGCATGCAAAATGTGACCAAGTTCACATGGATAAAACCCCATTTTATTTGGATATTATCACTGAGAGTCTGAAATAGCTGTATTTAATTTTAATGCAATATAGATAACACAAAAATACTTGTTTATTTCTGCTAAGACAGCTGAAAATGTATTTAGGACATGTACTAATGTGCTGAAATGCTCTAAGGGGGTTTATTTTTGTTGATCTTAAAGACGTTTAAGGTCTGAAATCATGCCAAATCTTTAGCATATCATTATTTGTTTTTTCAAAACCAAATTAGGGCTGGAACGAAACTTGTAAACACAGAAATAACCTCCACTTTGCTCCAGATTAGAGCTCACGTGCAGACATGGCTGCAGATCTAGCAGGCCCAGGTGGAGTGAAAAGGGTCTGATTACCCACTGAGTGAGCAGAGTGTGCATATATGTGGATCGCCAATCAGAAAAACAACAAACCGGACAAAAAAGAGGAATAATAAGAGATGATGAACAGGAGAATTGCTAACTAACCCAGAATTTTTTATGAAATATTTGGTACCATAGAAACACAGAAATCCCAGAAAACATCAGACTCTCAACTAAAAAATCTGTTTTCCAGAATCTGATCCACAGTTGAATGGTGTTATATGCAATTAAACAGATCAAAATGTATTTACCAACTCCTGCTAATATTAAACTGGATTTTTTTTGTGTGTGTCTTTTCTTCAACAATATAAGTGTATCTAGAAACTTTGCTCACCTTGGAGAAGCCGCTGTGGCGTCCCAGGCTGAACTCTGAGACATCTAATGCCACCGGATATATGATGGAGAAACTGCAGTTTCTGTGCTGATGTGGGATCACCATTGTGTAACTGCCCTCTGGTGACTGGGAGATTACATTACAGGCTGCAAAGAGAAGACAGACACGGCTGGAATGAGCCCTTTAATGGACTCCTAAATGGAAGAGAAGGAGCATCCACAGTTAAACATGTGACCTAACACACTCTCATATGGATGATTATTCATATGCATTATCAAGGCTGCATTTCTTTCCTTAAACTCTATCATTCCACCTGATTTGTAAGCATCCTATAAGTCATTTTTCACAGTGATGATGTTAATAAGCTTGACATGATCAAATTCTCATCATCTAAGCTCAACGCCGCCATCTTTTCTGCCTTTTCATCGTATTTTTTTTGTGGGTCTATGAAAGATGAATTGAGATGCTGGTGGCAAAGCTCTCTCCCAGTGGGTGCAACTGATGATTAAACCCCCCCCTGTCCCCCCCCGGCCAGGCTGGTATCATCACACTTGAACTGTTGCTAGCTGGACCAGCCCTCGTCCTCTTTTACCGCGTGCGTCTGACCACAGGCTTACGGAAGGGGTTGGTGTGCTTCTTGACCGTCAGGCTGAAGCCGCCCCCGGCGCTGTGGACGCGGAAGAAGATCATGGCCACGTTCTGGGAGGAGCGCGCCCCCTCCCCGGCGGGGCCCGAGTCGCAGTAGTCCACGTAGCGCCGGTTGGGGGGCAGCGGGTGGTCCTGGGAGCTGGGGAAGCGCTCGCCTTTCATCACCCAGCCGTCGAACAGCTTTGCGGCACACACACACAGAGAGAGAGAGAGAGACAGTTTGCTGGGATCTCCCTGGTTAGCAGAACCTCACAGAGGCGTTGCTTTTGAAAGGAAAAGGTTTGGCGGGAGGCGGGAGGCCAAGGGCAGGTCAGCTGGAGTCAAACGGTTTAACACAATAGCTTACGACAAAGGAGCTTTTTGCCTAATCGGGAAGCGTTTCTAATCTGAGCCCAGTGTTTGGTGGGAGGAAAACAAGAAAAGACTGCGAGTCCAGAGCAAAACAAACTCATGTTTCAACACCGGTGATTCCTATGCATGCACACAATACCCAGGAGGATGTCTCCAGAGAGCATCTGAGCCAAAGAAATGTTTTTTTTTGGGGCAGTTTTTCAGAGGAAGAGACTTTGTTATCATCTTACTGTGATGAAGTCCCCTCCGCTGCAGTCGATGTCGACGTTGTCATAATCCACGCTGATCACTTGGTTGGGCTCTGCCATGAAGAAAGCGGCACAGTTGAGCTGAGGGGACTCGGCTGTGAAGGTGAACTGACCCTCCACGGCGATCATGTCCAGACAACCTGAGAGACAGCCACACAAGAATGTCTGGATGAGCTCATCGCACAGAAAAAAACAGCTGGAAAACACAAATAACTAATACTAATACTCATAAGACTGCAATGAAAATCAATTCATCCCCCTCTTTAAAGACCCTCTTTTAAATTGTCTTGTCGAATTATAGGAAATGAATACAATAACTGACTCATTTTTTGTGTTTTAAACACACTTTTAGAGGCTTCATGTAAAAAGTATTTTGCAGGTTTTAGATGACTTACGCAAAGGACGTCGATACATCAACACATCAGGTGTTTCTCTCTTCAGCTCCGAGTTGAAAAATGAGAAAAGTTCATCCTGGGAGATGTCGTTATTCTGCTGGGGAGGGGAAACAGAACGAGGGTAAAAAAAAATAATAATAATAAAAGAACCTGGATCCGTTTATCTTTCATGTGGTGAAACACGATCAGCGCTAAAAAAATAATAATCTCCAAAGCCTTACCTCAATATACCTGGAGTCTCCCTTGAGGACGCAGAGGCACAGGAGCAGGAAGAAGAGCTGCTCCCGGAAGGTGCGCTCCATCACACGCATCTCTGTGCACGGCTCACCTGGGCGGAGGAAGAGTGTGAGCTGCTCCGCGCTCAGCCGGGCTTTTTATAGGAGCAAAATCCCGGAACGGCCGGGCGACATGGTCCCTGTCACCCCCCGTGGACGCCCTCCCCTCCCCTCCCCTCCCCTCCCAGTCCCTGTGACCAATTGCGTGTTTGTGACGAGAGCGAGAACATGCGAGCGAGACGGGAGCTGGAGGAAGAGATGAGTTGATCCAAGACAGCTTGAAACCGCCCATAAATCACCCCTTATCTTTCCTCCGGCTGCCTCGGGAGGGACTTTGGAGCCTCGACGCACAGCCCCGCGCTTTAACATAACGCAAAACTAAAACTAAGTTAAGGGTGATAATCAAAACTCAAATTCTTAAAACATAGACTGAATGACAAGCAACATTTCATAAATCATAGTTAGGGAAACTTTCAAATTCATCTTTCTTTCAGGTACCACTTGATAAAATGAGACTGAAACCAAATGATGTCTTTGACATTAGGGATGGAAAACAGGGGAAATTAGGGCTAAGTTTAAACCAGGAACCCTCCAGGACCAAGGTGATTACTCAGAATGAATATGAACAATATGATCAATTATATCACGCAACAATACAAAAAGAAAGAAAGAGAGGCCATGTTTGAGTGACTGGATGACTGTGTGACCAAATAATCACAGATCAGAATTATGTGTCTCACAATGAATGGAGAAAACTTTATGATTTTAAGGTCTTTGCCTTCGACCCAACCAGCAGCTCTACTGCTAAAGAAGGCACGATTCTCTTTAATTTGGAAGACGTGGAACTGGAACGGGAACGGGAGCACAGAAGGTGTGGGCACACGTCCAGCATGGAGCACCGGGCAGGCCCTTAGGTCCCGGGCCGAGGAACTTCAGTGTGTGGGCTCAGGGACACGTCAGAATCCAACTAAAGTCACTTGAATTCACAAAAACAATTAAAAAAAACAAACACACAGAAACAAAAAATCTTGTGGGACAAAGCTGGTTTAAGACAAAGAGGAAAACGGTCACGTGGTCTGGTCGAACTGTACGACACACACAGTGGGCAGTTTGCCCATGTCTGCATACAGGTAAAGTTTATTTGAAACACACCTCATACGGAGACAGGAGACAGGAGCTGTTCACATTCCCACCATGGCGACCGGCTCCTGTAGCCACCTGCCATGATTTACACAGCTTTCCTTTCTCACCTGGAGTACATTGGCTAAGCCGCTTATACGCCTGCCACGCGAGATATGGCCGCAACACTCCGTCAGGGCCTGCAGCCTGGTGGCCGGGAAAGCCAGAAAACTCCAGCCAAAGAGACGCACTCGCTCTGAAACGGTTCTGCGTCCATAGAACACAACGCCAACAAAACGTAACCCAATTGATATCACAATGTGACACAGTTGTGTGACAAATTCGGCGTGAAATTGCTTCAAATTATGAAATGCGCAACACAAAACGGGAGTCGTTTCCTTCAAGTGTGTCACCGTCCCAGATCTGGCTCTCCTTTTCAAAACCCGCATTTCAGCCTCTGAAAAGAATAATTAGCTCGATTTATCGGCGAGAAACTAATTACAGGCTGAATTAAATCAGGGAAACGTAAAAAACGGTTTGAAACATTTACTTTAATAACAGTCAAGGACACAAAAGGAGCTGACTTCCTCCAGCTTTTGCTCCGTCTCCCGCTTCCTGCACGAGCCTCGGGGCGTGGAAAAGGTCATCTTTTTCAAATGAAGAAATTGGGCCTGAGTGTAATCCACCCTTAAGACACGAAAAAAAAAAAAATCCAGAAAACATTTGTTTCTGCAAGATAAGCAACGTGAGGCAGGGTATATTTAGCAATGACGTATAAGAATGTGGAAAATCCATTTAACCTTACCTGGAGGACAAATAGAGTTTGTGCTGTATATTATGTATGTTTTACAGCCAAGTCGCTGCAGAATGGGTAGATTTCCCTCATAGGAGAGAAAAATAAACCTTCTAGGTTTGTAATCAAGAGAATGAAAGTGAAAATGAAAATCGGTTTCTCCTCCTTCATTATAGAAGCAGCCGATTGCTGTGTTTTATGGTTTTATTATAAAAACCTAAACATGATAACAAGAATTTATGTCCAGTTTGTTTTTCTATTGCAGTGTTCTATGCAAACAGCTTTTTATTTTTAGTCTTTTTTCAGTCGGTGAGCCTTTGTCACCTGATCTCCTGCTGAGAACAGACTTCTATTTATTCTACTCCCCATGACAAGTTGTCTTTAATTTAGTAAAAAGTGTATATCATAAAAGCTGCATTAGGTCATGCGGGTTTAAAATGAGGGCAACATTTAGAGGGACCTGTTTCCATAAATTCTTAACTAATCTGCTGGAATTCAGCTCCGACATGTTACGTTAACGTTGAGGGCTTCCTGACTCTTTGGAAAGAAGTTCATATGTGGCCATCAGAGTTTCTCCAGCACGCTGTGAAGGGCCGGTGAGGTCACTTTTCAGCTCCTTTTTACAACAAATATTCATTTCTGGGATGAACCATGAGAAGAAAGTGCTAATCTCTTGCCTTTGACATGGAAATGCACGATGGCTAAAGGTTTTTTTTTCTTCACAAACTGAAACACAACAGAAAACAGCAGCCCAGATGCTGCCCGGCAGGTCCTCAGCCGGACGTTGCGACTGGACCGGGAGATTACTCAGTATCTGCTCCGCATGACACTGACAAACAGCCCTCACATTCAGTCAAAATGACGTTTTAGAGAAAACGCAGATTATTCGTAAAACTCCAGGTACCTGAGCGTTTCATGAATAAGAAAATTGCATTTCTTATCGCGGCCTAAACTGTCACACCTCGCTGATATTCTCCTGTTGATGCATTTTGGTGCTCAGACTAATTCAAAAGGTGCGAGACGTGAAGGATAACTTCAAAAAGGCCCTGGATTCATTTCAGCTTAAAACTATCCCAACTTTTACACAAATCTCTGGTTCTTTTTCAGGCGCTGCTCATAAAAAAAAGGGCAGAAACACAAAGAAAATACCAAACATTCATGGAAACTGAGTACGTTTACTGTTCAGATCATTCTTCACAACCGTCCGCTTATCTTCCAGCACTTCTGACGTCCAGACGAAGCCCGATGAGTATCAGCTAAATCACTTCTGTTTTTCCAAGCCCTGATGAATGACGACAGGTTTAATTCATATGCGGCATGACAGTCTCAATCATCTTTTAAATGAGCCCAAAATAAAACATGTGCATGTGGTTAGAAAATAACCGCCTCCGGGCAGCGGAGACATTCCCAAGCTGGATGAACTGCAAAGCAATGGATAAACGACAATTTGCACACCAAAAAAAGGGAAAAACAATACAAAGACTGTAATAAATGAGGTGTTTCCTCATCTTTAGTTCCAGGTGTTGTACGTGTTAGGAGACAGCCTGATATTTCCTGGAAAGTCATGGAAAAATGCTCCAAATGCAGGAAATTTCTGGTATTCCGTGTGGGCATCACAAGGCTGTTGTACTGACAATATCACTAATTGAATTATTGATATCATTGAATATTTTTGATGTTCCTGTTTAGATGTTAGAGTTAAAATGCTGCCAAACCCAGGGTGGGACGTACTGAGGTGATGAAAGTGGGAGCATTCTTTATAGAGTGCAACAGATTGGGCATTGCACATGATTCAGGTTAAATAATTGCTGTTTTTTTCTGTTTTTTAGTAGAGGTTTGGAAAATATTCACTTCCTGTTTTGTTGTTTTTCATTTTAATAGCTATTTTTTTCTCCCTGTTTCCCATAAATGTTTGGTTCTCCGCCCCACAATGCACATCTGTCAGCAGTTAACCGAAAGGACTCGTTCTGGACTCGTTTGACAGTTTTCACCATAAATTAAAGTTTGTGCTCTTGTTTTCTGCATTCGGTCTCCTAAAACCCTGGATTGCTTGATGCCGGTATGGAAAAATGGTGTCATCGGTTTAATGTGGTCTGATAAGTTTGTGTTACAGATTCCACATGGGTCTTCAGCATTTCAGGTAATAATCTTATTTCAGTTTTAGATTATCATCAGCTCAGTCAGCAAATTATAGTTAGTCTGAAACTAAACTTGGAATGATTCCACCTCAGATGTGGTAGAAATTTCATTTAAATTCTTTTTTACGATGACAAATCCCATTTCTATGATCACAGCTCTGGTTGCATTTCCTGATTGAACAGGGTTGATTTTCCACCTGTCTCTGGTTTTTGACTGGATATATGAAAGCGAAATGAAACCAAAACCAGATTTATATAGACGTGGCCACATTTAATCTGCAGTTTAGATTTATGCAGAGAAGTTGCTATATTGCAGCAAAAACAAAAATGCAAAGCAATGACTCAAATTATAGAAGAATCTGATTACCGGGTGACTGTTTATTCTAAAATTGCAATATTTTCCTACACTGCTGGCATCTTAAAATCAAACAATTCCCAACCTGATCCTCTGAAAACATTTCCAAGCTAAAAACTGAATATGTGACGTTTGTTTTCAGGCGTTTTCTCTTTAAATGAAATTGAATTGAATTGAATTGAGTCCAGCGAGGGTCAGCCCGAGGAGCTCGGACTTCCTGTGTGAATGTATGGCCACACAAACTAAATCTAAAATCCCTCTTCATGCATCAAAGTGTAACATAAGCCCGACACCGGGTGTTTGTGGGGGATTCAGCCCAGGCATGCATAATTCAGATTTAGAGAAAACAAAGGCCTGCTTCTGTCGGAACAGAGCAAGCTGGGACTTTTTTTGCAGGTTAAGCAGAAGAGACCAGAATCCAGCTTCCGGATAAGCAGGATGAGAAGACACTGAGGATCTTTAGCTTTCAAGTGCCTTCCCAGAAAAGCTTTTTTATTCATTTTTCACTTTGATATGTTGAAACAGGCAGCGACTGAAGCCGCGGCTTGGTGCTTTTTTTCAGTACTAACAGGGAGGATGCAGCTCTGTGACCCCTCCCTCTGCCTGTTTGACTGACCTCTGCTACACACTTCCTAATTGTGCTTTAAAACACATCGTCTGATTGA